AAGATGAACGAAAGAAGTTGGAACCAGGAAATTGTCTGGATCTTGAGAGGAGTTGAGGAGGACAAAAATATGACAAAACTTTTTGTAAGCAAACCGAGTCGTTTCAGAAGGGAGACCCAGTTGCGTGGTTGAATCACACAGAGAGACAGGAGTGATGTACAGATCTTGGCGGGCTGCTATGCCAGCACCATCGTGGCTCTAGCAACCTCTCTTGTATTCTTTTGAAGGATTAGTAACCTGGTGTCTTTTGAGCTGCTAGAGTCCAAGTGTCAATTGGATACTGCAATGAGTATTGAAATATGGCCAGGGGCGCTAAAAATGTATCAAAAACAAATCAAAGGCTGGAAATAAGTCTAGAGAAATGGCGTTCCCATTAAGTAAAGTATGCGGGCTACCGATCAATGCAAAATCATTGAGAGGATCATTCACAGCGACTTTATGTGAAATCAATTCTACGTGCATATGCTGCTGTTTGAAGTGTCATGCCAGCGGATCCTGATCGAAAAAGCGTTTTCAGTTCCAAAAAAGTGAGCGTTTGACGTTTTTGTTCCGTCACTCGCACGACCTTTTGAAGAAACGGAGTTGCCTAGTACGAAGGTGCGTGGCGGTGCCTGGTACAAAGTTGGGACATTTGAGTGAATCTGGGGAAGATAATTCTTTTGTTTGAAAAAGAAAAATACAAGCACTTCGAGAGGCAGAGCACAATGGGAAAGGACAAGAAAAGAAACGAATTGGGTTCACGCTAAAGAGAAGAAATTTAAGTCACTCCTTGATGTATATGGCGAGAAGAATATCGAGAGCATCAATTTAACACAGGGAGATTCTAGCTGTGACTGTACGGCTCAGACATTTTGGCACCCCGTGAAATTCAGCTCCATTGGGTTGTCGGATCATCATGGTAAATTTACGGTATTTGCTGTAAGCTCTATCCTAGCACGTCGATGGGTTAAAACGAATTTTGCGAAGTATCGAGAGTCGAAATCACCCCCGAAGGAATCCATACACGCTATTGGTTTCAGCCGGAGGCAAGAGCAATTCAAGACTACTCGAACGGCATTTGCGATACCTACAGTATTGAAACGTATATCGAGTCACATGAGAATATTCTCATGTTTCGGGGCACTGCTAACATCCCGGTTGCACACTCTGGTTGAGAATCACATTAGTAAACATTCGAACAATCTGGACTGCTTTTGGTTGAAATCGGTCCGGTAGCTTTCAATCGACCCCTTTTTACACGCCGAAATAGGGTGATGACTTGGTGAATGCGTGAGCATAAGTTTTCACACACGTTTATTTGTCGGAATAAGGATGTGAGATTGAAGGTGCTGCCGAACCACGCCTTGAGATAACAGAAACAGAGGAAGTGGATGCGGGCTTATGACCAACAGAACGCAGGAGAAACGATTGTGACGAGCTCTGAGTATGAGATGGAATTATCACAGCAGATCATAGAACAGCAGATGTCCAGGTTCAAAACAACGAAAGCTGGCTGAGCGAGTCTGAACAACATCCAGAGAATTTTGAGTTTGAGACAGAATCAAAGGTATTGTACTTCAATGAAACTTCAAAGTAAAAAAATCTCAAAAAACAAATCACTTCAAGGACAATCACAAAAACTTATCTTAATATTTCTATTGATCTATCGAAAATGCTGTGACAATTTTATGATTGAACTAATTGAAATAAATCCTTTTAAAAGTTCGATAGTCAGATCCATATGCCGGTGGGTGCCGATCATCATCGCCGTTTTGCTTCAACATGACATTTTAATAACGCTATGATTTTTTCGGATGAAGATAAAAATATTCATGAGAAGCAAAGTTTTGCAATTGACTAGTGGCACTGTAGATCAACTTCTTGATGTTCAGAAGGCTCACTGACGATGCGCGATGAGTACATCGACACTAAGTCCGGGATTATGTGCCAGTCGGTCATCTGAAAAAATGTTTGATTTGTTTTGGCTCGACGTTTTTGCAAATTTTGAATTAGCCTTGTCTTCTTTAAGTTTCTCGCGACAACTGGAATACGAAAGTCAGAAACCTGAACAACCAAAAAAAATTCGGAATAAAACGGTCCAGAATCAAGTTGCTATTCGCAATTTTTTCGTAAAAATTGTACTTGAGTAGAGTTATCTTGGTCCTCAGAGAGAAAAACAGCTGAAAGTGTGGAAACGAGAGTGCAGACTATCGAGGAAGAGCCACCTTGAATGTGATGGTTTTGCCAGTGTAGTGAGCTAACGGCCAAGAACTGTTTCAGCATGATTATTAAATATTTTGTTGAGTGTTAGATTAGAAGTTCTTCTGGAATTATAATTGATTAACTTGTTCTTGACTGGAGTTAATTCCTGAATTGTAATCCAGATTGTGATTACTTGAATTCGTTTTACTTGAGTAAGGTTGAGCTAAGGTGAGTTTTAGAGTGATCCATCTGAAAAAGATCACATGTACACTTTCAGATGGATCACTCTAAAACTTTCAGATGGATCACTCTGGATCACCCTAAAACACTGAAAAGGATCACATGTAAAAACACCCAGGAGCGCCATAAAAACACTATGTAACAGTCGCCTACTTCGTTCACATATGAGGCTTAAGAAGAATAGGCCCTATAACCATTGGCTCAGGAGTCAGGGACACTATCTCTCGTGTTTTTCTACCTCAAAACGGTCGGAGCTAATTTGGTTCGCTTGCGACATGAGACTAAAAACCCGTTACAGCTTAAAGGCCACTACCAAAATACCCCCACTCTAGAAAATAAGAACGTCCCGATACTTAGTTCTCAAAATACCCAAAACACACGAACGCCGTTAAAAACAGGGTAGGAACAATCCGCACAGTTACTTTTTATTAGACAGTGGAACTTTGATCCATTTCAGATGGATCAACCTAAAGCTCTCCTTATCTCAACATAACAATCATAAAACACACTCAGGAAAATAAAATTGAGAACTCACATGTCGGCACACTCGAGAATTAGAGGTAACTAAATTAGTGAGCAACTCGAGAATTAAGTATGATAACTTGAGAAGTTTAATACTGATTAATTTCAACAAGGGAAACATTTTTTTACTCAAGAGTTTTGGTCTGAACCATTGGAACACCCCAGCTGTCCGCTTTTCCACTGAGGGTTCACTCTAGTTCAGCTCGAATAAATGTATTCTCCTTCGGTGATCACTCTTTCTCCTCTTTCAGGATAAGACGGCTCTACTCGCGTTTGTTTTGTATCTGGAAATTGCGAATAGCAATTTCCCGCTGCTTTTTCAAGTACTTTTCCGCGATTGTAAGCCGGATGTTCTGATTTTCTGTTTCTGAGATTTTTAGTTTCCGCGAGAAAGTTGAGCATGACAGGCTCAATTCGAATTTTTGAAAAATCAAATTTCCTCCCAAAATTACGTGATTCGTATTGCTCAAGGTCAAACTTCCGAACATGACCGACTGGCACAGTCATAAGCGAACAGTGAATTGGGCTCGAACGATTCGGTGAGGTACGAAGGCACAAAAGATAGTTTCCCTGAACCTTGGGAAAACTGTTAATGGGCCCATTTTTTAAACTAAAACAATACGTAAGCGAACGACTGCTTTACACTACTTTACCGATTTTTGGGTGAGCCTAAAAATTCCTGTAATCTACTTCCTATAAATCACGGCGTTCTAAATCTTGACTCAATTTTAATCAATGCTATATATAAATGCTAGTGACAACTATCTCCCATGTTTAAGCATGATAACTTTGCATTTTTAACGAAAGAATTTTTTCATGTTCAAGCTATATCATGAATTTCAATGCTTAAGAAAAATTTTTGATCAGTTTTCCGCAAAGTCATTACTTTTTGAGTAATATTTTTTTGAGGCCAAATTACGATTGTCTGTCTGTATTCCTGATTTTTAATTAATATGAAAATGTCTGTCTACCCGTCTCCTAATTTTGTAACTTTCAATTTGGTTTCGTAGATTCAGTTCGAAATAGTACTAGTATCAAACGGTTTGTCTCCAATCTTTCTTCGTCTCTGTTTTTATCTGAGTTTTCTATCTTCTCTGTCTTTGTTTTCGACTCTTCTTTTTCGATCTTTTTTTCTATTTTTTTTTTCACTCTTCTTTTCTATCTTTTTAAAAATCTTTCTTTCTTTTATTGTTGCTTCATTTTTGTTCCGTCTTTTTTTGATCTTTCCATCTTTTTTTTCTTCTTTTTCTTTTGTATCTGTTTTTATCTGAGTTTTCTATCTTCTCTGTCTTTGTTTTCGACTCTTCTTTTGCTATCTTTTTTTTCTATATTTTTTCACTCTTCTTTTTTATCTTTTTCAAAATCTTTCTTTTTTTTGTTGCTTCATTTTTGTTCCGTCTTTTTTTCATCTTTCCATCTTTTTTTTCTTTTTTTTTCTATTTCTTTTGTATCTGTTTTCAATCCTTCTCTTTCGATATTTATTCGATTGTTTTTCTATCTATCTTTTTCAATCCCTTTTCGATCTTTTTACTATCGAAATAGATGGAAGGAATATCCCTTTCGTAACCGGCTATTTCCCTTTTTTTGTTTCAGAAACCCTTAAGCTTTGCTTAAAAACCATACCATTTGTGGAACTTTGAAAGATAAGCGGTTTTCCTGCATCAGTACAACTTAAATGGTTTTATGATTTTAAATACCCGTCCTTCGAAATATGTTTTGTAATGTCAGTTATATATTACCAGCTCTGAGTTCGTATAATTTCAGTTTTTTCTTTCGTATTATTTTAGTTATATCGGCTTAGTGGCCTTATATTGCGTCGTTTGATAAGCAAAAAAGCGTGCGTTTGTTTTGTTAGTGGACTTTAATCGTGTTTAAAGTTTTCACTTTCTTTTCTCCTTGAGTTTATTGACACTTTTCCAAACGGCTCTCTGTTGGTTATGTTTTTGCAAGTTCTTCACCTGTGCTAAAAATTTGTTGTATTGTTTTTTGAGTTGTTGTGACTATTTCTTAAGATGTTCGACCTTTTAATTTTTTGCGTGTGTGAAGCTATGTGTTTTTTTTTCAGATTAAGATATGAAGAAGAGAAAAAACGTTGAAAGGAACTTAAGCAAAGCGAAAACTGACATATCGAAGTTTTTGAAAATCAATCAAGGCATTGATGCTTCGGAAGGGTCGGAGCTCAAGTCTGGTGGCAGCAGAAAAGAATACCAACCAGACAGAAAGACTATGAGAAAACAAAAACGGCAGAAGTTGAAAGAAAAACGAAGAAAATTCCATGAAGTAAAACAAGGAAACATCAAAGTGCACGAAAACCTTGAGAAGAACAATAAAAAGGAATCAAAGCATCGGACGACCAAAAAATGTAAATCAAGCTCCAAGCAGTCAAAACCAGCTGCTGCAGTCCCAGAAGAGCTTGAATATCTCGATGACGGCAAGCTTATAGATGATGCAGAAGTAAAACGATTATCAAAGAAATTGAAGATAAAACCAGGCAAAGTGCCCAAGTCATTCTACGAAGATGGTGATCTGGGCACACTTTTGGAATTATGTGAACTGAAATTTGAAAATGAGGGGCTGGTTGATTTCAACGACAAAGACGTACAGAAAGCAACTTCACTCGGTAATGTCGACCAAATGTCCGATGATGCAGATGATAATAGCTCTGATGAAATTGATAGTGATCTTTGCGGGTCAGATTCGGACGACGAGGAAGAGACTAAAAGCTCTTCATTAAAGCGAAAAAATCCAGAGAGAGAAAAAGTTACCCAGACTAAAAAGAGCAAAACAAACGATTCGGAAAAGGAAACCTGTATCAATCAAGATGAACTTAAACCTAATAAAAGAAAGAGCAAAGCTACAGACAGTTCTGATAAACCGGTGTCAGTTCCTGTTGAAGTAGGTCTATCTGCGACTGAACATACCAATTTGAATAATGACGAAATAATGGATGAAATAAAACCAGCAAAATTTGATCCCTATGCTGGAGCTTCGAAATTTTATGTTCCGCCGCAAAAACGACAATATGATGTAACCGCTGAAAAGGTGAAAGATTTTGACGCCATGGTTCTGAGTGAAGACTTCAAGCGAATCTATAAGCAATGTGTGGGGTTGTTTAACCGAGTAAGCGAAAGCAACTTGAACACCATTAGTAAACAGTTGGAAGGCTTGTACACGAAGTTTGGGACCAGTGAAACGAATGTAGCAGTAAGCAGGGCTGTGATGAGTTTATGCTGTCAGCCATTTCATGTTGCTGACAGATTGATATTCGAGAAAATTGCCATGATTGCTATTGTACATAAAAACACGCAAACAGACGTGTCCGCGCAGTTCACGCATTCGGTTTGTTGGAAACTGATTGAGTTCTGGCAATCAAATAATAATGAAGATTCGGAAAAATTGGTAGCAGATAAAACAGGTGTAAACTGTATTAAGTGTTTGTGTTATCTCTATGATTTTGGGGTATTGTCTAACAAACTTGTTTTCGACATTATTCGGAAATTGTTGGGCGATTTGTGCCAGCCGAACATAGATGCGTTGTTGGCTATTGTTCTAAATACTGGCTACAATCTCCGGAAAAATTGTCCGTCTGATCTTAAAGATATAATTTTAAACATTCTAAAAACTGGAAACGAGCATCTAAAGTCTCTAAGAGAAACCAGCAGGCCAAAGTTGGAACATTTCTTGGACTTAGTGACAGCCCTGAAAAATAACAATCGTAGAAAGTTAGAACTAGTTGTAGATTTGGACGCATTGGTTGCAATTCAAGACTTAGTTTCCGACCTTGCTTCCCGAAACACGTCGGATGGAGGCGGAACTGTAAATGTCTCACTTGAAGAAATATCGAAGGCAGGTGCGAATGGCCGCTGGTGGAATTTAGGCACCAATGAAGTAAACTTAAACCCAATTAACGACTCAAATGATAAATTAGGTCATTCGTCTAATGAAAACGATGAACTTATTGAGCTAGCGCACAAATGTGGGATGAATACACAATTCCGCGAAAGTGTGTTTTGTGCTATTATGACTAGCTCTGATTATATGGAGGCGGCAGATAAATTATTTCGTATGAATTTAAAGAAACATGCCCGAGAAATTCCACATATCGTCATCAAATGTTTACTGCTCGAGGAAAAGTTCAATCCATTCTATTTTCATCTATTGAAGTCTTTCGCAGTTTACGAAAAACAGAACAAAGTGGTATTGAAATTTGCAATTGCCGATAGGTTGAAGGATCTCAAAATGATGAAAAACAAATATGAAATGTCTGTTTTCGCCGAGCTGCTTGTCAAACTTCTTTTCGAAGATATGATTCCAAGCAACCTTTTATCGCTTTTACCGATCGTCAACACGACGAAAAACTCTGTCTCGTTCGTAAGGATATTTTTGAAAAAGTTCCTTTTATCAAAAAGGACACTACTGAATAGTTTTCTGAAGCGGGCTACAAACTCAAATGACAACCAATATCTAATGAACTTAAACGTTTTGACCAAGCAAAACATTATAGAGAGGTTTCAGAAACTGAAAGATTTGAGCGAATTGAAGTGTAAACTTTTGTTAAATGGTAAATTTGTGTGTGAAGAAATTGATAATTTATCATAATCAAAATTTAATTTTTACAATCAGTGTCTTTAAAATGATGAATTTTTGTGGTCAGGTTGTAATATCGTTTCAATTCAGTGCAAATTATTGAACCCTTCTCTCTTCGAAATTTTTTTAGTTATAAAATCCAAATCCTTTTTTGTAGCTTATAATCGGTTCATAGAAAAAGTTCGAAACTATCATTGAACTTGATATGAGTTTTGTGTTGTCTTTTTGTGATTCTGTTGTTGTTGACGGAGTGCATTTATTAGTAACTCCGGGGTAGAGAGTGAATGACCTCAGTGAAGAATTGTGCGAACTCCTCCTGGGTGGATGCCAGTGGTCGCCCCTGCCACACAATGCTGCTGGATTGGTCATACACTATGGATATAGTGGGCACTCCGATCAGGTTGAACATTTCTGGACAAAAAAATACACGTCTCAAAATCGAATAAAAAGGGATTAAGTTTTCAAACATTTTTACTCACAGGCGAGCTTCACTTTGAAAACACTAGCAAGAACACGACAAAAACAGCTCTTTAAAATTCAATAAGAAAAATTAGAAATAAGCCTAGAATTTAAAAAAAAAATTGGTTACGTCTCGGATTTGAACCTGCGACCTAGATATTATGAGTCTCACACACCAAACACTCAGCCACGGACGCGTAATAGGTAACAAACACTAGCCACAAATAAAGCAGAGAATAGATGCTATGCAATTTCCAGTGCTGCAGTGAAATTTCCAATTAAGTGAACACTTTCAATGAACATTTCTATTTGCGAGTTAAGTTAGAAAACAAGAAGGTTCTTAATAATACACTACGCTGATCGGTAGTGTAAAAAACAGGAAAATTAAATACCCAGTGAGAACTCGACAATGAGGCCAGTAATCTGCACTATAAAATGGTTTAAAACTCGAAAATTTTCTGACTATTTTTTCTCAATTTCTAAAACATTTTTTGGGATCTTGAATATCGACTCAAAGGGCTTAATACGATGCTTACCACATCTGCCCTGTACGAAATTTCTTGAGGTGCCTAAAATTGAGCGGAAAAGAAAGCCACTCAATAGTTTTTACTGACTTTCGGTGATGAAATCAATAGAAACAGCAAAATATTTCAAATTACTTTCAGTTGGAGATACTTCACATTGCGTGGTTTGTCTAAAAGTTATTGTTCCGAGCGCTCTCTATCGAAGGCAGGAACTGTGATCTAGCTTGGGTTTTTACATGCCATTTCAGGAATCTGAAAAATCGCTTGTAGAGGGTTAAAGGAAAATTATTGAAGCCTTACAGATCAAATTCCTAAACAAACTTAAAAAAACATGCTATTATGGAAAAAATATTAAGTAGTGTCTGAATATTTCCGTTTTTAGAATGAATTGTAGAAAGAACTAAAAAAACTCTTTCACCTTTTTGAAGCTCTTATCTAAGTTAGTTTTGAGCTTGTTTTCAATCCCTCTTGCTATACAAAAAAGTAGAAGAAAAATTTGGAAAAACAATAACAGTTTCCAATTAAGTTCACTGGGCGAATTTTTTCTCAGTGTTTTTTTTTTCACAGTAACTCCGGAAATGAGCTGATTGTTTTTATGACCATTTGCTTTGAATCAAACTGCCCAATTATTTAGATACGGTTTCCTTGAAATAGATGTTGTAATATCAATGTAGGCCAAAACCCTGAGTTATCGGGAATTAATTTTGTTTTCCCGGAAACAATTTTTCTTACAAATTTAAAAAACTATTTAATCAATAACAATATTTTCAACAAAGTGTTTTTGTATTTTCCTTTGCGCACGTTTTTAAGAGTCGATGAACGTAGCTGAGACTGATACTGGAGAAAAAAGTAAGGCAACAAGAGAAATTAAAAACAAAGTGAGAAATTTAAAGTCGAAACAAGACTGCTCGTATATCAGGGCAAAGCCCTGAATGTTCCGACGGTCCCTTAGTTCATAACGAATAGTTTTTGGGGAAAAAAAATATTGAAAACCTGTACATTTTCAACAACATCAAAGTGTAAAATTTTGAGTCGTACGAAAATAATACGACCAATTCGCTAGCCTCAATTCAATTTGGAACGATTTTGTTGTGCAGGATAATTCACCACGCATAAATAATTCGCGTTACGCTCTCAGCATTTTGAATAAACTCTTCAAATTGCGCATAATTTAGTCCAGAACATGGCAATTTTCAAACCCACAGAACCTTACAAAAAACAATCGTAGGCAAAATATCTTTTTACATTTGAACTCAGGAAGTCGATATATTCAATGGGGTTTTAAAAATGTTTGTTGAAAATTGTTATTTCGACCGGTGAAAATTGACTGAATAAAAAGTCACACCGAGCATAAATATTCCGTTTTCTCCGTAAAACGAAACAATAAATTGATTACTATTATGTTAGTTTTTGGCCCTAGATTTGATGTACCTAATTATTTTCTGAGAAAACGTCAAAGTTTTTAAAAAATTTAAAACTCTAAAACTAAAATAAGCTTATTTCTTAAAGCTGTAATTGAAAAAAAATTTTAAACCGCTCGAGAAAAAAATTGCCTTAAAATTCTGAAAAGTTGCATCTATCAAAAAATTGAAATGAAAACTTTCAGTACTTACTGCTTTATTCCAGATGAAAATAGGCAGAATTTGTTCTTTATATGTGGGGAGCTCAATGTCTGTCAGATTTTAAGTTTTTCTGTTTCAATTGAGTCAGTCAAAAATGTGTTTCTAATAGCTGTTTGCACACAAGGAATGCAAAGATTTATTGATCTCGAAGTTTCACAGGGAAATTTTCTCAGTTTGAAAGTTATTTGGTTGTATCACTTTTTTCTCCGGTATATAGGTCGCGATGATTTTTAGGTTAGTTTTTTTTTTTGGTAAAATTCTTAAAATTTATTGAAGCTCAAGTTTACTTTTATCGCGGTTTGACTTCTGATTTATTCAAGTTGATCATTTCTTTTGTTTAAAAGAAGGCAAACTCCACTACGGGCAACGAAAGTGTAAATGTCACAAAAAATGTGATCAAATTGAATTATCAGATTTCCCAGAATTTTCAGAATTGAATTATCCGATTTCCCTGCGAAATAAAAAATATATCTGTTGATCAAGTTTTCTCAAATTGGGTGAACTTTATCAAAAACGTGTCAATTATAAGTTGTTCTAGAAATTCCAGGAGTTTTAAGGCACACTTTTTCTGCAAATTTGAGATTTTTTCAAAAAACAAGTCAGTTCTGTTCACTTGCATTCATTGACTCTTTTCCAACCGTATGTTGGCTTTGTTTCTTTATGTTTCATTATAGCTCCCTCCCCTCATAATGGTACAATTACATTAAGTAGGTCGATAATTTTTAATTGGGCTGGGGGCTATAATAGGTCGATCAAATTGATTTTCTAAACTCTCCCTGTACACTATTACGACCCTATTCAGAAAAAATTGTCAGCGCCGTTTTCAGGTTCTTTTTTAGAAGGTTTCGACTATTTTTTCAGGCGCTTCTACACGCTCCTCGGAAAAAGAAGGCTAATAGAAAAATTTAATTTGGTCTGTAAAAAACTTGCAAAGGAGGACGTTTGGGTGGTCCGAAGATCAAAGCTCTAGCGTTTGAAAACATAGTGTGAATTTAATGAGGTGAAAGAGTGCAATAAGGGAAAGTACCTTGGATCCTTTTTGAGGAAGCATTTGATGCAGGTGTTGCTGCCACTGATTTCTTCTCGCTGTTTTTTTGGGTGTCCGGTCTGCTCAGATCAATTACTCCACCACTAAGGGAGAAGCAGCCGCAGACGTGCTGGATGTTGTCAGCCAACCAGTTCTTCGAATCTATAACAAATTCACTCCTTTTTTTCGAATTCAGCGATATGCAAATTAATGTTGAAGTGAGATGCAATTTTAGGTTTCTTTTTAAGAGTCAAGGAACGTAGTGAAGACTTCAGTAAGTCTGGATAAATTTTTTTGTTTGGGGTTGATGATTTTAATTTACAGATTTTACAGCGGAATAATAAACTTACGTATTGATCCAGTTTCTCCGATTGGGTTAATTTCATCAAAAATTCCACTCATAAATTGTTCGTGAAATTCAAAGAACTTAAAGGGCTTATAATTATTGTTTTCTTTGAAATTAGAAAATCGAAGTTTTTTGAAACAAGTCAGTATATTTTTTCCTTGCGTTCATTGACTCTTAAATGTTTGTGGGCTATGTTTTTTGTACGACGGTTAGAAATGAGCCAGGACAACATTCGGTTCTTTGTTGTTCCTGTGAAACATCACATGACCGAAGGTCTGAATGGAAGAAAATTTGGTAATATATTACAATAGGTGGTAGATTCAATTTTAATGTTGTAACGCTCTTTGCTATACTTCGAAAAGCTTTTGTAATTTATTTCAAAAGCCAATTTTTTTGGCAAAAGAAGTGGACAACTTGAAATGACTACAATATCTATCATAGTTCTCAAATGTAATACATGCAACATATTCAAAGTTGCCAACTATTGTACCATATCACCAAAGGTTTCTAACGATTCAAATTGTTTTAATTTATGCTCGAGTTTTTTCAGATTTGTGAATACTCAATTCTGACAATTATCAATCAAAATAGTCAATTCTGATAGTCTTATAAAAACAACCAAAATTTTTTTCAATCGGTGTTTCCGTTTTTGATGATATCGGTCAGGAGTTTCAAGTTAATTTTATCAGTTTCGAAGTTCTATTCTAACTTCATCAGTAGAATTGGACAAACACGTGACTCTTACAAACACAACGCAATAAACACTCAGTGCAAAACTATACCTGATTCGTTTTTGTCTGAAAAAGAAAACTTTGTATTTAAGGAAACTGAAATCTAAAATAAAAATCCGCTCATAAATCAGTCGACGAAATTTTCTCAATCAACTTTTTGGTTTACGAAAATTATTTAAGCTGTTATGAGATTTAAAACTGCTAATTTGGATACCACGAAAGTTCAATTCTAATTTCATCAGTAAAATATTCGATAGAAGTAATAAAATAAGCATATTGGACAACATTTTGCTTTGAAAAATTGATCTAAAAACAAAGAAAAATCAAAGTTAGTTTTTTTAATCTTTCAGGTTTTTTGCCAAAAAATTACGGAAAGTAATTTAACTGGAATAAAAGTTTTCAGTGCTTGAATAAAAATTTAATGTCTAAATCTTGATATATTTTTCTACTGCTCGCTCGGTTTTTCGCTCGAAATTAGGCTAAAAGTAAACCGGTTTTTCTCGACACTGAGAAATTTTTTTGAAAGTTTTTTCAAATTTCAGTCGAGTCATGACTGAAAAGGTTTTATAATGATATAACAATCGTTGAACTCTTATTATTATTGAGTGTAATTGAACGAAGTGATGGTCAATTAAATAGGTCCTGATATTTGTTTCCAGGAAAAAGTCCTAAGTTTTTTCTCACTCAGATCTGATTTTTTGCTAATCACAAAGTGATAGGCTAATTTTGTTTTCAATTAAACTTCTAATGGCAGCGCAACAAACAATCCACTAAAAAACTTTCACGTCATTTGAATCTGAAAGAGTTAAATTATGATTTATCAATCGACCGATTCTGATGATTGTTTGTGGGACCTGATTTTGCGTTGAAAACAAAATTAAGGATAGCCGGTTGCTGTCCAAGTAGCCCAAAGTTCACACCATATTCATAAAAAAATATAAAAAGTTTTTTTAAGTTCTTCAAATAACGACGTTTTTATTGGGTGCGGTCAATCGATAACTATATTTTCGCGTAAAAAATTTGGCGAATTAAGCATGATCGACAACAATTGTCTTCAAAATGCAAATAAAAACAAAAATCGAAAAAAAAACATAATTTTTTTTTGAAATTCCCTCTTTGTCAAACAAGCGCTAAATAAAACATCCAAAACTAGTTTTCTTCCTGTTAATATCAAGTTATTTATCCTAAAAGTCTAAAAAACACATTGTTACTCGATCGCGTTATAATTTTTTCGGAAATTTTTTAATATTTGAATCACAACTAAAAGGGCTTTATGATAATTACTCACTCAACTCAAATGATTGTTTGTGGTAGCTAATTTAGCGTGAAAAGTAAAAGAAACAAGACTGTCGTATCAGTGCGAAGCCCTGAATGTTCCGACTGCCTTTTAAGGTTTATGGAGCAGCAGTAATAACATGAAAAAATGAAATGAAATAAAATAAAATGAAATTTTTTTTTTCTAAAATTTGAAATTTTTTATGAAAATCATCCCCCCACACGCCATATAAAGTACAAAAAAATAGAATTCGTTCCTTGTAACAAATCAATTATGGCAAATAAGCTTCGTTCAACCACAACCAATTTGGAACGATTTATAAGACGGATTAAATCTCCGCTTACGCGTTAATAGCGTGAATTATATATCGCGCGTTAATTGTCCCAAATTGGTCAAAATGGCAATCTTTAAACCCTCATAACTTTACGAAAAATAATAACAGGTGAAATATCTTTTCAAGTTTAAGCTCAGGACAACAATACCTTTTGAATGATATAAAAAATCCGTCGAAAATGGCTAGTTAAAAAGTCGAAATTTGTCTGAAGAAAAAAAAACCCACCCCGAGCACAAATATTCCGTTACTTTCGTATCGAAAGTCGGAACAAAAACATAGATTTCGTTCCTTGTAACAAATCAATTATGGCAAATAAGCTTCGGTCAACCAATTTGGAACGATTTATAAGACGGATTAAATCTCCGCTTACGCGTTAATAGCGCGAATTATATCGCACGTTAATTGCCCCAAATTGGTCAAAATGGCAATCTTTAAACCCTCATAACTTTACGAAAAATGATCACAGGTGAAATATCTTTTCAAATTTAAGCTTAGGACAACAATAGCTTTTAAATGATATAAAAAATTCCGTCAAAAATGGCTAGTTAAAAAGTCGAATGTTGTCTGCAAAAAAAAAACTCACCCCGAGCACAAATATTCCGTTACTTTCGTATCGAAAGTCGGAACAAAAGTAAAATTTGCTCTCCATTTTCAATTGAAAAGTGAGAAGAAAGAACCGGCTTATCTCGGCACTCGAATTTATTTTTCAGATATCTTCTGCTCGAATTAAGACTGAAAAAGGTTTTCATGTTAAGTGTTACGTATCACTGGGGGTTCCCATCCATTTGAAATTCGATTTGCGAAAAAGATCAACCAGAACTATCAAACTGAGTTAGACTTTGACAAAAGATAGAAAATTAGTGCAAATAATGAATTAATTTTTAATTAAAACCAAATCTAAAGTCCAATAAATAATTTTTATCCTGTTGCTCTAAATAATTTTATTGCAATTAGACTTTCCAACTATTCGCGTTAACAATTTTGATTTAACTAAGAGTAATATTGCAATACAAGTCAGAGTTTAAACGTTGAGTTTTCGGCCTGAAATCTGTAGCTCGGTAAAATGACATTTATAAACTTTTTTAACTTGTAAAATAACTTCGATTTCTTCTCGACGCTCATGTGTTGGACCAAATTTTCGAACATTTCCAAAGTTTCAATAAATTCTAGATCTTTTGGACACAAATAGTCTTTGACGAGTTTCTTTTCCAATTTCAAAAGTTTTATCATCGCTTCCAAACTTTCCGTGGAAATTTCCGTGTTCGGGTCTAGATACGAGTCTTCTTCGTGTTTATGCTGACTGAGACGTTCTTCGATTTGAGCCAATGTCGTTTGTATGTTCTCAGCGAACGAATCCAGGTTTCGGTTGTTGTCGGCTGTCGAAGTCCACCCGGTGAAACTGTTGTTCGTGAGCGCATTTGTTGCTGAGGCGTCGTCGGAATATTTTTCGCTCATATTTGTGCGTTTATGCTCTGCTTTTTCTTGTTTTCTTTCTTTCTCGATCGAAAGCTGCAGTTGGTGGTACAAAAGTCGAGTTAAGAGCTTCATTTATAATATTTTTATGAGATACAGAGTTTTGTGCACTGAGTTATTACGCTCGTAAGGCCTGAATTCACAAACGATAATAGTTAGTTTGTTTTTAACTTGAATTGAAGTTATGAACTTTTAAATTTAATCTAAAATAAATGTTGGACGGTAAAAGTTCAAAATATCCAGAGATTAAATTTAGTTGGGGATAATATAATGTTAGTGGAATTTATTTTTTAATGAAAGTCAAGATTGGAAGAAGTCAGTGTCATTTGCACAGAATTGTATCGGTTCAAATGCATTTCAATTAGTTGAATAATAAATAGTTCTTCCTTTTTGAGCAAAATACAATTTACTGAATACCTTCTAAATGGGAGCACCATTGTAAGTGCGCAGCTTACAATATGAAAGTGACTAGATATTAATTTGAGGCGAAAGTCAGTCAATTAAAAATGTGAGACAAAGCTATTAAACTTTTGAAAATGTTCAAAAAAGTGAAAAACTTTGTGCATGTGGAGGTTTTGAATTGTCTGACTTTTGATATAACAAACATATCAATGTTCGACTTGTGGCGGACATAAAGTCAATGTCCATAATACATGACAGCTGTGAACTTTGTGAGTCATTTTTATTTACCATTTAACAGTGCAATAAATTCCACTTATTCTGTTTTGTAAAAAAATATCCACAGAACAAAGTTACCAATCAAGTTCATCAAATCTTTGGGATATTTTTGAACATGCCCCCCCCCCCAAATGATAAAAAATAAATGAAAATTTTTATTACGATCGGATTTTAATTATAAATGCTAGGCCGATAACCCGAGCGTTAAATTAACATAAAAAGGTATCCAAAATGAGAAAAAACGACAATTAAAAACGTATTTGGGCTCAAGTTAATGAAACTTTTGTGGGGAAAACGGCAAAAAATGGAGAACCGAGCCAGTTTGTAGCTAAATTAAGTGAACTGCTTTTTTTAGTCTTGTGTTATCTTGACTTTTTCAGTTATATCGATCTAAATTTGATGTTAAAACTTTTATTTTCTTTTTTCATAATTTATAGGTATAATCGAAATGACCCTATCTTTGTTGCTTCCTCCTCGCTAAGAACGGACTGCATTTTTTTGAGAATCCTTTATACTGTACTTAAAATATGAAGATGAATTTGCCAATTATATATCGGAGAGTGGACTTGAGTTGCAGATGTTGAGGTTGATCAGAGGGGTATGGGGGGGGGGGGGGGGAGGGGGAGGGGGCAGTGTGATCCCTTTAACCTGGTCAGGCTCAACATCTACTACTGTTATCTTTAACCGCCAAGACAAAATTGATGTCTTGAATAGAGTCGACTTGTCATACGAGTTCCAGCTAGCGATAACAACACGGTACTGGTGCGCTAGCTTTAAATAAAACAAAAAATCAAACACATGCAACCAGGACTATCTATTAAGACCAACCAGGAATATAAAATGGGATTAAAAGTGGACTGACCTTTGACAAGCTTAGCCACGTTGGCATAGTGCACATCCGGCTGTTCTCCGCTGCCGACACAGCACGTGATCAGCTTAGTGGACATGTCATTGGTGGAGGCCCACCTGGTCACGTGCCGGAACGTCTTCTGCGAGGAGAGACACCTGAAATGAGCAAGTTACACCATCTGCAGCTAGCTTAATTGCTTTGCTTGGTGGTTTATTTTAAAAAAATTGAGTAGTTCCAAAAGCTTTTGACAGAAGTCGTTATAGAAAAAATAATACAGTGCATATACAGATGTTTTCGTTGATCAGAAAACCAAAAAAAAAATGTTTATGTTTATATTTTTTAATGGCAGATGAAGCATTTCTCACCAGTTGGTGTAGAACAGAACAACAGTGAATCCAGACCTCTCACTCTTCTTCCTCCGAGCACCCCCCGGCCCACCCCCACCCACAGCAGATGAGTCATCTAGGGTGGGGTCATCAAACAACAGGTGCAGTGAGGTCTCGCATTTGTTGAGCACATCGTACACGTATGGGTTAGGCCATCTCTTTCTCTCTCCCCTGATTAGACCAGGGAGACTGGAGGCCTGTTGTCTCTTAAGTTTCGAGTTGCTCTGCTGTTGCAGCTCCTCGGCTGAAACAAAATTGGATATCGAACTATAAAACGATTGGGAGCGGCCTCGATATGCGGAGCGAAAACGAAAACATTGAGACTGTTATTGCCTTTGATTAAATAAGCGGTTACATGGCAAATTATTATTTATCTAAAGAGTTCAGTGCATGTAGAATCTTATCTAGTCGGCATTTTTTGGATTTTTCTTGAAAATGATCTCGTTGAAAAGTTAAATTAAAAACCAGTCACTAACATTGCAAACGAAAATGTCTAGACAATGTTTTTTCGATGCATTGATATTTATCGGGTCAATCACATGTTTCTGTAACTAAATATTAGGTTTCGTTAGCGTAAAGATTTGGTAAAGATTACAGTTCTTCTTTTGGATTATAGACATTTTTTCGGGTTAACAACTTGTTTAAGAAAATCACTTGAATCATTGGGGCAATAAGTGCACTCATTAACATGCTCCATTAGCATGCTCAAATTTTTAAAATTCAATCGATACCACTGAACTGTCAGACTACTGCTCATACAGTGCAGTTAAAATGTTATATTAATTCTCTTGGTTTCTAAGTTTTTTTTGGAAAACTTCAATTGTCGGTCGATTATGTATCTGTTTAGTAATTAGCAAACTAAATAGATCCAATTTTGTATAACTTTTGTTCAATTTTTTTCGATTAAAAATTTATTCGTTTTAAATAATTCCAGCCCATTTGTTTTTGCCATAGACGCTTCATGTTGCGTCTTAAGGAAGTTGATATTAAATTTTAAGGCCTGTGTGCTTCAGGGTGAGGTGATACAAAAAACTCTGAGCTTCAAAGCTTTTTCGCTTATTTTTTTGTGACCACAATTTTGTTTTCCGCTCAACGGGCCTCTACCTAATTTTTGTCGGCTTTCTCGTCGCTACTTAATTTTTGCCTGAATTCTAATTCCTTGCTTTTTGTGTTTGAATACATGTCTTCTTCAAATTGAAACTCTTTCTTCGAAACACGTATTAAACTTTTGGTAGAGACTGTTTCCTTTTGAATTTTTGATCAAAAAATGTTTGGGTTTGGTGGGTTCTTCTCATGTTTTTTTCTAACTTGTCATGCTATGTTTGTGATGTATGTAGTGCGACGCTTTGATTCACTTCTGTATAAAAATAACGAAGCAGAGGTTGTCAGGTAAACGAATGTCTGGTGGGGGGCATGCTCTTAAATCCGCCCCTTTGTTTCAATACGATATCACACTTGACCTTCTCCGAGGTGTCTTGGAGACAACAGCGGATTTGGGGGGGGGGGCGCCCCTCCCCCTCAGGGATTCGACCCCTGCCGACCCAAAGGTTTCCCCTTTGTACTATTAGGAGACATCCAATTTTGGCTGGCTGACCCTATAACTTTTCTAAAGGGGCCTTGGGCGCCAAAATATACTAGAAAGAAAGAAAGAAAGAAAGAAAGAATATATTTTTCCTTTTATAAACAATATATCAGCATAATTAAATTTACCACATTTAAAGCAGGAACGGATAGACAACGGGACCTGTTGGTCCACTAAAAGTCTACCCTTCTATTCAAATTAAACATCTCTAATGAAACAAATCAAATTAAACAATACGAGCAAATATATTTTTATTTAAATGCAAAAGCTACAGCTCGTGAAAAAAAAAAAATATATATATATATATATATATATATATCTATTTATAAATTTATGTTGACATTAATTAACTATCGAATTAGTACCAAACTTATCAATACTTCCAGGGATATTTATTTTGAAGGGGAGCGCGCGCCGAAAAAACGCATTTTTTTGTCCGAAATTGTCCAAAAAGTGCCTAAAAAGCTTTTTTGGCTTGTTTCTTTTAAACTTGTCTGCGGCCAGGGGCGGATTTAGGGGGGGGGGGCCATCTTCAGGGATTCGACCCCCTGCCCCCCTGCCGATCTTGGCCGACCGATCATAAAATTTTTCTAAAGGCGCCTTTGGCGCCAATACATACTAATTTTGAGGGGGGAGCGCGCGCCGAAAAAACGCGATTTTTTGGTCAACATTTTTGGACTGTTTTTTTTTCAAAATTTTGCATGCGGCGCAGAAAATTTGGCCAAAACAAGGACTAAAACGTGCTTAGGGAGAGCTCAAAAAATCAATTCGTTCGATCTAAAAAAAAAAGGTCGACAAAATTTTTTTGAAAATCCACCCCCCCCCCCCCTCGAGAAAATCCTAGATCCGCCCCTATCTGCGGCGCAGAAAATTTGGTCCTTATGGGGTCTTTATAGTGATTTGGGAGAGATCAGAAAATCAATTTGGTCGGCATAAAAAAATGAACCCCCCTCGAGAAAACCCTAGATTCGCCCTTACTTGGAGGTACCTGAAATAGGGTAGAAAAAACACCCTACGCCATTGTTGCTTCCGACTCTACAAGAGCAATCGTAATAACAAAAGTTATCCACCTGGTGTAAAAACTAACCAAGCATGTCGGCTACAGCACAGCAGCCCCTGTTGGGCCACCGGGCGACTCTGCTGTGCACGTGTGAGTAGCAGAAGAGACTGAAGGGTCTGAAGAGTGTGGAGTCCACTGTGACTTTGTTGCTCTTCTGAAGTGGAAACGAGGAGTCCTGAACCACACTGCCCACGCAGATTGTGTACTCTGGCTTGCCCATCGACAGCTGAGAAACAAATTTATTCTCTGCTTTCAAATGTTCATTATTAATTTGTTCATAAATTCTTATGTTTTTTACCCTTGCGATAAGCAAGGGTGTTGCAACCAAGTACTAGACTTTTTTCACGAGAACAACTTTGCTCACAAGATTTTGCAGATGTTTCATCTTGCATCATAATCAATTCAACATAATTAATTCAAACAAGCTGTTTTACGAATCCGGCCGTGAACTGATTTTTTAAACCTGAAATTTTTGCTTTTTGGAGTATTGTCCGTTTGTTTATTTTGGTCAGCATAGTTTCCGTGTCACGGTTTCTGCTTGAATGATCAGATTTATTCTAAGTTTCTCAATGCCATTTCTAAAGCTTCATTGGTGGAGGTATTTGAGTTTCAAGATTTTTTTCGCGAAATTTTAGTTTTATTTTTTTTTGCTGTTGAAAAATTTCTTATAATAACTTATTTTTTACAAATTAAATTTGCTTTATTATTTTAACTTAACAACTTCCAGGTTCCTTTCAATTTGGCCCAGAAAAAAAGCGGCTGCGTTTACACCCTAAGGTTTTGGTGTTCAAGTCCCGGCCGGACCGTGGGTTTTTCAGTATGTTTGAAATCAGTTTTTTTTCCTGGTAAAATTGAATAGTCAGACTTTCTTTTCTGTGCGCAAGTTTTGTCGGCTTAGTTGCCCAGCACAGATTTTTTTGATGCAGTAAGAAAGTAGAAAGTTTCATTGAGTTGCAACTTTTTTTCTTTGTAGTTCAGGGGACATGAAATTTTTTCAAACTTTTTTTATCAAATCAGTTTTTTTTTCGGCTCAACTGGTGTCTGCACAAAGATTATCGCTTTTGTTTCCACTTCTAGGTTTTGTTCCGTTGCTAATTTAATATTCAAATCTCTCGCTTGACATGTTTGCCTAGAATGAACTGAATCGAGACATACGAAAACTATCGAGACTTACGAAAGAGTTTTTAGCACTTTTTATTTTTTTCGGATTATTATGTTTGAGATTCATGAACGTTGTGAATACTCTTACATAAATCTTGGTATTTTTTTTCAAGATAAATTGCGTTTTCAATTTTAGTAGCTTTTTATGTTCAGTTCATGTCTTTTGTTAAAAAGAAGGCAAACTCCGCTATCGAGCTGCTAATGTGTAAAGGTCACAAAAAACGTGATCTACATCTAGTTTCGAGAGTGGAATACATTTTTCAGATTTCTCTGTGAAATAAAAATTTTATTTTTCTAGTTTTAATCATAAATTGTTTTTGAATTTCAAATAGCTTTAAGGCCATATATATTTTCTTCGAAATTCGAAAGTTGACGTTTTTTTCAAATAACAGTCAGTTTTTTCATGACTCTTTTCATGACTATTTTCCAACTCTCTATTGGCTACATTTTTAAACTAGCTGTATCGCAAGTGGTGTGCAGCTCCGGTTCGCTTTGTGTTATTAATTCGGAGACATCTAAGAACAAACAAATTTGTCTAATTGACATCTCATCTTCCAGACTTGGTTTTTGTGAGATAGATTATTTATCATAAAAATTAGTTTGCTGAAGTTGGACAATTCATTATGATTATTTTTCTTATTATCATGATTATTATTATTATTATGATTTTGATTATTAATAAACGCATTTTAAGCAACAAAAGCAGTTTTGAATTCAGTTGGTTGGATTTTATTGACTATCTTGGATTCACAATTTTGATTTTATGGATTTTTCATTAATGCATACTTGTATAAAACGAATGAAATTGTCCTATTCTGCCGTTTAAATTGTAAACATCAGGCAAGTTAATGAGAAAACTTATGTAAAAAATTGTGCACTGTCAAAAATTGTTAAAATAAAAGTTGCATTTTTCTGAGTACTCTCCGCGGTTATGTTGGTGCAAATTGGCGCACGATGCGCCCCTAGGAGAATTTTAGGCTTCGCATGTCAAAATGCATGAATCATCTTAACTGACCTTGAAGTTAAACTTGTTCTGAGTGCTGGGTAGAATAGCCCCCACTTGAGATCCGTTGACGATGACCTTGAACCCTGCAATCTGCTCCCTAGTCTCTTGATCCAGCTTCTCCCACGTGATTTCCCCTTCTATCTTGCCAGTGAACTGGGCTATCTTGGCCAGCATCGGCTCCATTTTTTTGTAGAGATCGTTTATTTCCTGTCACAAATTCAAGAAATAACATTATATTTGACAGAAGAAATATTTCAAAAAGCGGATAATGTCAATCAACGCGAGGCCAAAACTATCATATTGAATAAATTATTTTGCAAATTGGTAGGATAGAACAACAATTTTTAACACCGATCTGTTTTTTTTAATGATGGGCGTGAAATCTATTTCTTTTGAGTTCAAAAAGGATAGTTCAAAAACTTCTATAGGGTTGAAAGTTTTTAAACATTTTGTTCAGAAAATGTTAATTTTTACCCTCAACCTATCGCAATAAGTGTATCTACTTGGGTTGTTCAGTTATTCATAGTTTCTTGCCTGCTGTCTCTCCGAACCCTGTTTGAATGAGGCAGATCCATCGAACCCGAGAAGTGACCACCAGCTCCTGATGAGCCGACACATCTCCATTTCCAACTGAGGTCGCTCGTTCACTCCGACTAAGTTCGTCTTGATCACAGGTGCGTGGGGGAAGTGCACTGGTCTCAAAGTGAGTTTGTTAGACTGGAGGAATTGGTCCAAGCCTGCTATCTAAAAATTGAAAAAAAAATGAGATCTACTTAACAATCTCCCACCCCCTATGGTCTCCACCCCTATGAATAAATACAGTAAATTAGCACTGGGCTTTCTATTGAGAATTCTAATTTTGCTGCATTCTGATTGGTCGAAAAATCGACCATTTTGATCTACTTAACAATCCCCCCTTTTCTTGAAAGGGGTGGAGATTGTTAAGTAGATCCAAAAAATGTTAATAACTAAGCTTTGTGGTTTCGTGAAAACATTTGCACATCTGCAAAAGACTGACTCTCACTTTGAGTTCGATGTATATTTGGTAGAGACAGACTGTGGACAGGTTCTCCAGCTGGTAGGAGGTCGTGTCTGCCTCAAGGGGTCCAACTATCATCCGCTTTTCTGTCTTGTTCACGTCCTCCGCCTGATCCTGTCTCATCTTACAGTACACCTGCCAATCAAAATCATCTCAGCTGAATTACCCCAACAGTGAAATTCCCCCAACAGTTGAATCTTAATTTTCACAACCTTTTTTCACGTTTTTTGGATATAATTTCTTGAAAAGCTGCATAGTGACTACTTCATCTAGTTTGAACACATTTGCTCTTCATACCTTTTAATAAAAATTCATGCATATATCTATAAAAGCGAGCAAAAGTTTTATGAAAATGGAAAATATACTGCAATGGGAGTAGAATAGAGCCAGAAAATCATAAGTGGCATATGGACTCTCATTAATGTCTAGTAATGAAGAGCCAGGGATCAATTGAGCAACCCCCGTACCCGGATCGAGGTCCCAGACTCATGTCCAGACTTTCGCGACAAAATTTTGCCATGTCCAGACTTTCCAGACCAAAATTAGGCATGTCCAGACTTTGGCGACCAAAACTTGGCTTTTCCAGACTTTTACGACCATGATGATCCGTCGCGACTCATATTTGGTATATCCAGACTCTCGCGACCAAGAGTTGCCCTTTCCAGACTTTCGCAACCGAAAAACTAAGGCGCGACTTTCGCGACCGAGGCGGATACGGCGCGACCGTGTGGCTCAGGAAACGGCGTGACCGGCGCGACCAAACTTAGCCATTTCCAGACTTTCCAGACCTAGATGGAGACGGCGCGACTTTCCAGACCAGCATGGAGATGGCGCGACTTTAAAAAAGTTTTTCAGGGCTTTCTCGACGGAGGTGGAGACGGCGCGACTTTCGCGACCATGGTGGATACGGCCAATCGAGCCCAATGGTGTAATGTCCAATCGAGCTATCTTCCCCCAAGCAAAAACGGTAAGACGCTACAAACCATCAACAAACGCTAGTAGATGGTTGATGGGTTGATAGCACGCAATCAATTGACCGATTGATTTTTCTTTTTATATGAGTATCGAGAAAAATTTAGAAAAAGAAAAAATTGAAAATCATTTATATTTTTTTTTGCAACTTGTTTTTAATACGTGTTGTTGCTCTAGTCTCGTATCTAAATACCTAAAACTTTTCTCGCAGCACCTTAATATTGTACGCAATCGCTTTTTGTCATTTAGGACAGAAAAAAGCCGCTTTATGTGCCTCAGTTTTATTGATTATTTTCACTCGCTGATTGTAGTTTTTGAGCTTTGATTTTTTAAACTTTGGCGTTCCACATTCGTTGAAGACTCTGGTTCATGATGATTTCTTATTACTCAAATTTTTTTCAAGTGGTTATAAACATGTCTCAAGTAACTTTTGAGCTATTTCCTCCCTCTCCCACGCGAGAATGGTAGAGATTGCTCAATTGATCCAAGGCCAGTGTTAAAACCAGTGAGTTTTTAAAACCATACTGGCTGAGAGTTATTTCAGTTGAGAAACCTAAAATATTCAAAAAATCCAAACAATTTTCCTGCGAAAGAATATCAAGCGAGTGTCAAATTTTTAAAATTTGTCCCATTTTCGGGTACCCTCAGGGATTCGACCCCATGCCGACCCAAAGGGTTCCCTCTTTGTACTATTTTGAGATATCCACTTTTGGCTGACTGACCTTATAAATTATCTAAAGGCGCCTTCGGCGCAAATATATACTAACTTTCAGGGGGGAGCACGCGCCGAAAAAACGCGATTTTTTTGTCAAAATTCTCCAAAACGCCTGAAAACGCCCTTTTTGGCCTGTTTTTTCAAAATTTTGCCTGCGGCGCAGAAATTTTGGCAAAAACAGGGTCTTTTTAGTGCTTTGGCAGAGCTTAGAAAATCAATTTGGTCGACCTAAAAAAAAGGTCGACAAAAATTTCAATTTTTTTTAAAAAAAACTCCCCCCCCCCCTCGAGAAAATCCTAGATCGGCCCCTGGACAAACAACTGATATTTTTTAAAAAGTAGGGCAAACATTCGATTTCTAGTGATCGCTTGAAAGATGCTGTTTTGGCCGATTTTCAATTAAAAACCACGGCAAACTTGCCCAACACTGAACCAATATGAGTTTTTGTCAATAACACCAGACTCAAATGATTCTTCTAATTGATATTATAAACTCTTTGCTTAGTTGTTTTGGTTTTCTTATAAAATTTAATCCTAAGTACAAAATTTTTTTTTGACGTTTTGTATCAAAACGCAACATAGTTAAAATTGAAGACGCAATGTGGAAAGTGATAGAAATTCCTCAATAAAAAATACGTAATTATTGTAGAACTCGTTTGTTTGCAATTTTGTCAACGGCTAAAAGACTCTCTATTGTTTTTGAAATTCTTACGTCATATTATTAAGTAATTATTATATAAATTCAGATGTTTCACCCTGCATATGTTCGATATATTGGTTCCCAAGCTTATCACCCCGTGTTTTGTAACCCCCTTTTTCTTAACCCCCTCTCATATAACCCCATAATCAGATAACCCCACTACAATTTAACCCCTTTTTAAAACCAATTGTTAGAATCAAAGTGAAAGTTACTTGAAAAGGATTCGGAACCATATCGTCGGTAAACATCAAAGTTTTAATTGAGAAAAATTTTGCAAACCAAAATGAGTTAACATGCACGCTGCTAAATGCGTTTTAGATTTGAACAGAAATGACCTTGCCGATAGTCTAGACTTTGATATGAACTTGAAAACGAATCCGACCGACATGATTCAAATTGGTGCATATACAAAACAGTCCAAAACCATTTGAATTTCTTGACCTTGATCTTTTGGCGCCGACAGAATTGATCTACGCTTTGAAAACTCAAACATGGGCTTAATTAAAGATCAAAGAACCAAATTTGTAAGAATTATTCGGATGACAACCAAAGGCCTCATGGTATAGTGGTTAAAGCGTTAGTCTCAAAATCTAGAGATCAAAGGATCGAATCCCTGGCGGCACAAAAAATTTTCCAATTTTCCCAAAAAAGTTGAATTTCGGGTAAAAATGATAACGGGTATACCAAGGGTACAATAAATGGGTTAAGCTTACAGGGTTGGGCGGAGTGAAAAGAAAAGTCAACACCTTGTATGTATTTATTATTTTGCCGGTTTGAAATCGACTGTAGCTCAATTTTAAAAAATCAAGTTTTTGGACGGAAGCGTCTTTTTGCAAATTTGCGATCACTTTCCATATACTGGGATGCGATCCACTGAAGTATGACTGTATGCCATAATGCCAGCCCTCTACAGCATTTGTTGTTCTGGCCAAACCCGATGATGCCGCATCCCTTTGATTCCATAATGAAGGGGGGAATTGGGCTTCCCGATTCGGGACGAGACTTTTGATGTAGTTAGATCCAAAATAAAGGCAAAGCTCGTCAAAGGATTATTTCTCTAACTAGTCGAAATGTAATTACTTTTGAGATGCTAGAGGCATCAAGTGAATTAAGACTAGCTTTTCAGGCCTCAATTAGTAAGCTTAATTGGACTACTCCTGTACTTATAAAAAGGACTTAATTTGAAACAAGTTATCGTCATTAAAAGGGGGTTAAATTGTTGTGGGGTTATCATGTTACGGGGTTATGATATAGGGGGTGTAAACAGAGGGGGTTAAATATCGTAGGGTTAAAGAGTGGGACACCGATATATTGGATGCTTGCTCCAGACCCCCCATTTTCAGTTTCTTGCCTGGTTAGTATTTAAAAAACTCAGGGCAAGAAATTTTTCAATCTCAAAGAGTTAAAATTGGTTCTTGAAAAGGAACCTGTACCAAAACTTACCCAGTACCCGAGAATCTTGACATTCTTGCTGGAGAATGGGCGGCTCCACGCTATCTTGATGGCATTTCCGGTTGTAGTCATAACTTCGTAGATATCCGGAGTGATTATCCCTGGCCAGAGAATAACCAAAGGTTTGGACACCTCGCTATCCAGGTACTCATGGTTGGCTAAAGCCTGCACTTCGAATTTGTACTCTCGACACATTTGACCTAGCGTGAACACATATTCGGTCTCGTAGTTCTCGACTTCGGTGATTTCTTTTCCGTTGATGATCACTCGGTAGCCTATGATGAGGTCGCGCAGGTCTCGCAGGGAAGACCACGAGACGACCAGTTCCTCGAACGAAACTTTTCTGAAAAAAAAAACGTTTTCTTTTGTTGACCGCAAATGTCTGGATGTCTCTGTGCAACATAAGCACAGTGTTTTTTTTCATAAATAAAGATCCCTAAGAAGAATCAAACTAGTCTTTTCTTCGAAAAAGTGGTAGTTAGTCACTTTTTTTAGTCGCAGAGCATTCATTCTGAAGATATTGCACTACTTTACTATGAGAAGTTAGAAATAGTTCAAGTTTTGATGTTTTTTTAAACTAAATTGATAGTTTTGAGAAAAGGAGCTACTCTAACTTCGGTCTGAGGACAGGTTGTTCCAGTTTCTTGGCCGACAACACCGTGATCTGTTTGCTCTTGGTGACCACAAAGCCATGTTCCTCAACTCCGAAGAAGCGGATGAAGTGGTGGATCCCTGGGCCGAAGGTTGAGAGGGAAATGTCCTTCTGGTCAGGGGGGAGGAGCAGTTGTCGGGTCTCGGCCGAATCGAACGAGTTCCACTCAACTTTCACATTAGACACATTTTCTGAAAAAGTATTTCCATAAGCTGAAGATCTCATCTGCCATTCACTGCTGCTCCAGAATCAAGTTTTAGTCATCTTACAATACAACCGTTCTAGAAATATGACTATTTGATTCCCACAGTTGTAGTGCGTTTTAAGCCATCTGAGTTGAAAGATTAAGTGAAAAAACGTTTAATTTCAGTAATAATCTCAACTTTCTGTCGTACCACTGTTTAGATCCATGATCCTGAACGCCATCACAGTGTCTGTCAGTTCCAACAGCCCCAGTTTAACTTCTCCCCTTTCCCCTCCTAAACATGCAGAATCGCCGCAATTTAGAATACTATCTTTTTCAGAATTTTCGTTAAGGGAGTTTGCAAAACTTTTTCGAAAACGAGCTCACCTGTATAACTAAAAAGACCTTCTATAGCTGAAAAGTTTCTGCGACGCTTCCTAGGGTTCAAGGTTCGACCAAAAAGTATGATTTTTTTCGGCGTGCGATCTCCCTCGCGTTTATTTGATGTATTAGCGCCAATGAGGAAGTTAGAACTTTTAGGGTCGGTGGGTAGGCTATGTTCCAAAAAAAGTTAGGAAGGCAGTAGCACCCCTACGGGATTCGATCCCCTGACGTCTCAAAGGGTCCCACCTTTGGCACTATTTTAAAACATACTTTTTTGGATGACCGACCTTAAAATTTTCCTGAAGGCGCATTATATACTACATTTTTATACTACATTTGAGAGAAGGGTGCGCGAGTAAAAAAGCGATTTATTTGGTCAACAATTTTTGATCAAAAAGTGTCTAAACACGCTTTTTTTGGCCTGTTTTTCAATAAGTTGCCTGTCAAATTCATGAGAGAGGAGGGGAAGGAATTTAGGGAAATTATAGCTTCAATTTAATGTTTTTTAAAGTTGCATTCTTATTATGGCACCTATTTTGAGATCTACCAAGGTTGGAGATCTACCGGGTTGGAGAGCCGGTTTTTTTGGAAGTACTAAAAAGATCAAAAAAACTCAAAGTTCTTAAGTCACCTATTCGGCGCTAATTCTTTTTGAATTAATTCTAGCCCTGACCTGTGCCAGGAAGTCTGTCGGATGAGCCGAAGTTGAGCTCCACATTTGCGAGGCCATGCATGTCTATGTACATCTGTTTGTACAGTTCCATTGTGGCCATGTCTGTGCGCACTATGAGGGGGTCACTCAACTCAGAGTGGGGCATGTCCGGGTGGGAACTGGAGGCCTGTACTTGGATGTTGTACTCTCTGCAACAGTTACAAAAAAAAACTAAACTGTATTACAACTAAAAAGTGAGAAAAAAAACACACTAAAACGATAATGTAGAAAGTTTAAGGGAAACTTAGTGGGAACGGGAATTTTTTATAGTCTTCCGAACAAGAATAGCCATTTGTTGTGCAGGCACAGAATGTTACAATCCCCGTCAACTTTTCCAGAAATAGATTTTAAACGAGATAAATTTTTGAGTTTTTTTTGTGGTTTTCTTAAGCCCCGTTTTGCTAACCAATTTTGAGCAGTTTTTTTTTTTGCTTTTTTGCAATTATTTATAGCATGTTTTTGACTAACTGGTCAATTTTGCTGGCGATTTTGGCCTTGAAGAACCCTGGTTCCAGCATATTCCCAGCTCTCCTCCCGTCTATGTATGTCTGGAATCCTCTGGTCTGGTTCGGTCCACTGGCTCCTTCATGCATCCACTCGATGATGAAAAAGAGTCTGGACACGTGGTGGATATGGACCAGTGGTTTGGGAGGTTGGCTCGGAACCTACGAGCAGATACCAATATTCGATTACATATTTTTTTTTCATAAAGCAAAGGAGAATATGACACTTTGCTAGGGACAAGTAACGTCACGCAGAGGCGGCTCTAGGACTTTCTCGAACAGAGAGGGGTGGCAAGTTATCAAAAAATTGGCGAAATAATTGATGTCCTTTTAAATTTTCTTTGGCCGTTTTTGGGCACTTTTTGAAAGGCTTTGACCAAAAAAACTGAAAAATTAGTATGAATGGGCGCCAACGGCGTCTTTAGAAAATATTAGGGTCGGTCAGCCGAAAATGGATGTCGTAGAATAATACCAAAATGAGGACCCTTTGGCTGGTGAGCGGATCGAATCCCTGAGTCCCCCTAAATCCACCCCTGACGTACTCCAGAATTTTGAAATTTGAAAGATTTCATCTCACAAAGTTAGCTCTGTTTTTTCAATATTTTATTATTGCCTATACGATTTTGCGCATGTCTACTCGTCTTAGCGTCAAACGAAAAGAGGTGTAATTGGCGTGTAATTGAAATCAGTGCCGACTGACCTGATAAGTGAGCATTTCACTCCTTTGAGGTTCCTGTCCGTCGTTGAAGGACACAATCAGCAATATTCTGTAGACAGATCTAAACAGAGGAGGAGTTTATATGACCGTGACCGTTAGATGCATCTCATAGCTTTAGGTCTTAGTATCAACCCCAACCGAATCCCCAGCCCCAGTTCTGGACTACTTACCCTGCCCTATCGACTGGAATGAGAACCCAGCTGTCGTGACATGCCACAGTTACACTGTAGACCTCATCACTGTCAGTGTCACTCTCCCACACAACCTAAAGTCAAAACAATTTGTTTCGCTTTTCGAATTCAGATTATTTGTCCGACTTTCGAACAGAGTACAGAAGATCATGATATTAATTATCTGCGACAACACCTTCACGCGCACATCATGCAACGAAACTAAAAAAATTTCAACGGTGAAAGATTTCGAACAGCAGCAGTTCACAGCTTCCATATAACTTACATGCTTTGGTGCCAATCAGGGGCGGATCTGGGGGGGGGGGGGGGGGGGGGGATTCGACCCCTCAGGGATTCGACCCCCTCACCAACCAAAGGGTCCAGGGTCCCCCTTTGGTTTTATTTTATGACTTCCGTTTTAGGCCGACCAACCCTTAAATTTAGTCAAACGTTAGGGTTGGTCGGCCTAAATGGAAGTCGTAAAAGAATACCAAAAGAAGGGAAATTTGAAAAAAAAACAGGTCTCAATGACGTTTTTGGGCACTATTTGGAAAATAAGACTAAAAATTGCGTATATAGTATATCAAATTTGAAAGGAGCGCACGCCGAAAAAACGCAACTTTTTAGTCAAATTTTCCAAAAAGTGCCCAAAAAACGGTTTTGAGACCTGTTTTTTTTTCAAAATTTGCCTTCGGCGCAAATTTTTGAGTCAAAATAGGAATAGGGTCTTTCTAGTGATTTAGGAGAGCTCAGAAAATCAATTTGGTCGACCTAAAAACCAGGTCAACAAAGTTTTCAAACTTTTTTTCGAAAATCCGCCCCTACCTTGGAGAGAAAATCCTAGATCCTCCAGTCGTACCAATACTACTATTATGAGAGCACCATTGACACCAGATTATGGGAGTATTTGGTTGCTAACATGTCTTCAAGTTGAGAAAACCCACTATTTAGAGTGGGTTCAGAAAAAGAGTCTTAACTCAAGTTGACCCCAAGCCCGGAATTCTTTAGTAAAAGGCGAAAGAATTTCACGTTCAGGATTGGAGTCTAGAGCGTATTGTACTCTCACCCTGCGGTAGCTCGTTCCTTCTATTTGTAACTCACAAATGATCCCCATCAAATTGGGAATTTTTTGCTTGCTCTTGTGAAATTCGAGTTCAAATGCTTTTGAGTTCTAATAAGTTTTATCAGTTATCACAAACATTTGTGCCATCTGTTTCAAAAACCTTTTGGAAAGTCAGCTATCCGAAATGCATAATTTAAAACCATATATGGTGCAAATTTTCTTGAATGGCGTGTATCATTTTGAAGCAATTCATTTTTTGACGCGCAGAAACTTGAAAATAAATCCGAAACACCAAATCCGAGACGCCAAATGTTCGCGTAAAATATTCGGCCATTCCGTGTTGTGGCTTTCGAAGTTATCGTTTTTGAAATTCATAAAATCCACAATTGGTGTTCGGTAAGCCGATTACCAAACTCGGGGGAGTGTGTCAAACTGAAAGTAGTCAGTTCGTGATATGCACATATAGTACCGGATTACGCTGCCGAATGAATAGATATTTTCGCCGCCCTCCCCTTATTATCCTATTAAACTGCAGAAAAGATTCGCTTCTTAGCGCAATATCTAGAGAAAGATGGGATCTCGTTAACTCATCTGGGGGTAAATGAATTAGGAATTATAATCAAGTGCAATAGGTATTGTAATCTCACTTCGAAACTGTCGATGCCCATCTCGGCGTTGGTCTTTGTCGACGCCTGGTTGTTGTTGCCCCCCTTAGTTAGTCCCCCCTTGTAGATGACCCATCTGGCTCTGATGTATCCCTCCTCGTTTTTGCCCTCCGCACACTGTCTCACAAACTCACAGTCGAATGCCTGGATGATTTGCTTGCCTGTAATGATCGAGACAGGAAGTTAGACCAAATAAAAGGTCACCCTTAGTATTACAAAATAGTACAAATTAGTACAAAGGGGGGCTCCTTTCGGTCGGCAGGGAGTCAAATCCCTGAGGGGGAGGGGGAGGGTGAGGGGAGGCGTCCGCCCCGCTCCGCCTTTCCCCTAAATCCGCCCCTGCTTAGTATTATATTTCATTCTTTATCCTTTTGCTCAGTTTTCGAGAAAACGCCATTTTGTAAAATTTTTTTTATAAAATTTCGAAATACTTTGAAAAACACTTACTCCTTAAATATTTATCATCTATATTTACACGTTAACGTTTTATGTTGCTCAGTTTTCGAGAAAACGCCATTTTGTAAAAGTTTTTTGTAACATTTTGAAATACTTTGAAAAACACTTACTCCTTAAATATTTATCATCTATATTTACACGTTAACGTTTTATGTTGCTCAGTTTTCGAGAAAACGCCATTTTGTAAAAGTTTTTTGTAACATTTTGAAATACTTTGAAAAACACTTACTCCTTAAATATTTATCATCTATATTTACACGTTAACGTTTTATGTTGCTCAGTTTTCGAGAAAACGCCATTTTGTAAAAGTTTTTTGTAACATTTTGAAATACTTTGAAAAACACTTACTCCTTAAATATTTATCATCTATATTTACACGTTAACGTTTTATGTTGCTCAGTTTTCGAGAAAACGCCATTTTGTAAAAGTGTTTTGTAACATTTTGAAATACTTTGAAAAACACTTACTCCTTAAATATTTATCATCTATATTTACACGTTAACGTTTTATGTTGCTCAGTTTTCGAAAAAACGCCATTTTGTAAAACTTTTTTGTAACATTTTGAAATACTTTGAAAAACACTTACTCCTTAAATATTTATCATCTATATTTACACGTTAACGTTTTATGTTGCTCAGTTTTCGAGAAAACGCCATTTTGTAAAAGTTTTTTGTAACATTTTGAAATACTTTGAAAAACACTTACTCCTTAAATATTTATCATCTATATTTACACGTTAACGTTTTATGTTGCTCAGTTTTCGAGAAAACGCCATTTTGTAAAAGTTTTTTGTAACATTTTGAAATACTTTGAAAAACACTTACTCCTTAAATATTTATCATCTATATTTACACGTTAACGTTTTATGTTGCTCAGTTTTCGAGAAAACGCCATTTTGTAAAAGTTTTTTGTAACATTTTGAAATACTTTGAAAAACACTTACTCCTTAAATATTTATCATCTATATTTACACGTTAACGTTTTATGTTGCTCAGTTTTCGAGAAAACGCCATTTTGTAAAAGTTTTTTGTAACATTTTGAAATACTTTGAAAAACACTTACTCCTTAAATATTTATCATCTATATTTACACGTTAACGTTTTATGTTGCTCAGTTTTCGAGAAAACGCCATTTTGTAAAAGTTTTTTGTAACATTTTGAAATACTTTGAAAAACACTTACTCCTTAAATATTTATCATCTATATTTACACGTTAACGTTTTATGTTGCTCAGTTTTCGAGAAAACGCCATTTTGTAAAAGTTTTTTGTAACATTTTGAAATACTTTGAAAAACACTTACTCCTTAAATATTTATCATCTATATTTACACGTTAACGTTTTATGTTGCTCAGTTTTCGAGAAAACGCCATTTTGTAAAAGTTTTTTGTAACATTTTGAAATACTTTGAAAAACACTTACTCCTTAAATATTTATCATCTATATTTACACGTTAACGTTTTATGTTGCTCAGTTTTCGAGAAAACGCCATTTTGTAAAAGTTTTTTGTAACATTTTGAAATACTTTGAAAAACACTTACTCCTTAAATATTTATCATCTATATTTACACGTTAACGTTTTATGTTGCTCAGTTTTCGAGAAAACGCCATTTTGTAAAAGTTTTTTGTAACATTTTGAAATACTTTGAAAAACACTTACTCCTTAAATATTTATCATCTATATTTACACGTTAACGTTTTATGTTGCTCAGTTTTCGAGAAAACGCCATTTTGTAAAAATTTTTTGTAACATTTTGAAATACTTTGAAAAACACTTACTCCTTAAATATTTATCATCTATATTTACACGTTAACGTTTTATGTTGCTCAGTTTTCGAGAAAACGCCATTTTGTAAAAGTTTTTTGTAACATTTTGAAATACTTTGAAAAACACTTACTCCTTAAATATTTATCATCTATATTTACACGTTAACGTTTTATGTTGCTCAGTTTTCGAGAAAACGCCATTTTGTAAAAGTTTTTTGTAACATTTTGAAATACTTTGAAAAACACTTACTCCTTAAATATTTATCATCTATATTTACACGTTAACGTTTTATGTTGCTCAGTTTTCGAGAAAACGCCATTTTGTAAAAGTTTTTTGTAACATTTTGAAATACTTTGAAAAACACTTACTCCTTAAATATTTATCATCTATATTTACACGTTAACGTTTTATGTCTGAGTCAGTGAATCGCAATTTTTGGGTCAAAATTTTTCACAAGTTTTGCACGTAGTCGACCAGATGCGCTTAAACGTGCATATCACCTTTCCCAATTTTCAGGGTTTTCCCTATCAATAAAATTTTTTGTCGGTGAGCGAATGATTCAATTTAGTTGCTTCGTTTATTTTCAGCCACATAATTTTTTGAAATACCAAAACATTTTTTTCCCACGGGTTAACTTGCCTTTCTGTACATCTGGGAGGGTGATTGACACTGGGAGAGAGTAGGCGAAGTCTTTACTCCTTCCGAACGTGGACTGCATCTCAGGGTCCTAAAAATCCTCATCTAAGTGCACTTCAGATAACCTCAGAAAGATTCAAGTACTTGAAATGGTTTCTAAGACGCGAAAAATCTTGGAATTAAAATATACTCGAATTCGATCTTGTTTGGTATCATATTAAAATTGTTTTCATTGATGATTCGGTTTCCTAAATAAACTTACAAGTATTTTTCATTTTGACTGTCGAAAACGCATCAAAAAGTTTCCGTTTTTGAGACTGGTTCACAGCGTCAGTAAAAAAAGAATAATCTGCAACTCTAATTTGCAACTCTGTGACCTTATCATCCCAATTTTCGTAAGGAAAGTAACGGAATATATGTGCTCGGTGTGGTTTTTTTAGACAAATTTCGACTTTTTAACTAGCCTTTTTTTGACGGAATTGTTTTTGTTTCATTCAAAAAATGTTGATAACTTGAGCTTAAATTGGAAAAGATATTTTACCTGTGATTATATTTTGTTAAGTTATAAGGGTTTAAAGATTACCATTTGGGCCAATTTGGGACAATCAACGCGCAATATATTTCGCGCTATTAACGCGTAAGCGGAGATTTAATTCGTCTTAAAAATCGTTCCAAATTGGTTGTGGTTGAACGAAGCTTATTTGCCATAATTGATTTGTTACAAGGAACGAATTCTATCTTTCTGTACTTTATATGGCGTGTGGGGGGATGATTTTCATAAAAAATTTCAAATTTTAGAAAAAAAAAATTTCATTTTATTTTATTTCATTTCATTTTTTTATGTTATTACTGCTGCTCCATAAACCTTAAAAGGCAGTCGGAACATTCAGGGCTTCGCACTGATACGAGAGTCTTGTTTCTTTTACTTTTCACGCTAAATTAGCTACCACAAAAATCATTTGAGGTTTTAATTAAACCTAGATTTGCTAATCAAAAAAAAACTTTCGGAAAAAATCGACTTTGGAAATTTTAATCGTAACTGAAAAGACTGGAAATTGTGACCACGTTCAACCACTTTTGTGCTTCTTTTTATTTCTTCGCTACAATCGCAAATGCAAAAGTATTCGTACAGCAAAGTCCGATTGCTTTTCACGCAAAATGGATAGAAATGAGACGAAAATAGCTTGTTTTAAAATCACCATAATTAACCAGATTTTCTTTCTCTCTATTTTTTTTCTTTTTTTTTGGCTTCATGTTGTAATTTCAGAAAAATGGATTTTTAAGCGTTTATGCACTTTTAAAGGTTTTGATTGATATTTTATTGCAGCGAAAGGAGCCTAATAAACTGTGCATCTAAAATTGAGATAAGTTTATCAATTGACAATTAAGGGGACAAAAAAATTTGCTTCCATCGATCAAACTCTTTTTTCGCCTGTTTATTTGACAATTTGGGAAAAGTTTGAGTTTTCAGTGCAAATCTGTACAATTGTTGGTTCTTAAGCAATTAACTCTTCCTAATTTCAGCATCAGAAATAATAAGCTCCTTTTGTACAAATAAATCAAAATTGATTCAGCTAATATAATCTAAAACTGCATTGAATGCAAAGAACTCATTCTCTAAAAATATATTCGTGCAAAAAGGAAAACTAAGAAATAACTTTCGAAACAGATTTTGTACTCATTATGCATAGAACGCAATCAAAACTTTAGAGCTTAAAGTTTACTGTGAAAGCTTTTGCTTTGTGACTATACATTCAATCGACTACAGTTCCTTTTATTTTCTTTTAAAAAATCAAAAAGACAACAATTAATTTTCGAAAAACGGAAGACAAGGAAAACCATGATTTCATACAGTTATTATCAGCTCATTCGCTAAAAGTTAAAAGAGCACTCAGTCACTTGTGCTGAGCTTACATTAGGGACAGTTTGTTAGCAAACTATTCGTTCAGCATAAATCAAGATCGAACACTTTTTTGCCTTTTATTCAAACTTGGTGGAAGTGAGACAAAAAAATTTTGGAATAAACAATACAAAAAAATTTCATCAGATTTTTTAAAGTTGAATTCTCAGCTCATGTTTGACCCAAAATCAGTCAAGGGAGTGTATGCATTTTCTTAAATTACGCACAATTACGCAACATCGTTTTTTTGTTTTATTTTATCAAAAAACCAATTATTCTGTGCTCTCCAAATTGAGAGAAGCTTATTGATTGACAACCGATGGAATGAAAGTATTAGGCACCGTAAGAGATGGAGTTCGTACAATAACTCGCTATTTTAGAATATTCTATTTGTTTGATGCAAGTCGTTTTATTTTTTCAATTCTCGGGCAATTATTGTGTTGAAAATTTTGGCAGCAGAACTTAGTTTGCTCCTTTTGGTACAAAAAAAATCAAAATTAGTTCAACCCACAAAATCTAAAGTAGTAGCAAAATTAGTGAAAACTTATCATGAGCCTTGAAATGCAATCAAAGTTGTAAAGCTAAAAGTTTGCTGTACAATTTTTACTGCGTGACTGTACGTGAAGTTGAATTTCGCCCGTTTTAAAATTGAACCAAAATACTAATTGTATTTTTAAAAAATTAAAAACTGACATGAAAATCAAGAGAACTGGTTTCATTAAGCTATTATCACCTTATTTGTCCCAATTGTTTTGAACCTAGTTTTGCTATCCGCAAAACTCTATTCTGTAGCACAAGACTTCTCGTAGATCAGGGCAAAGCCCTGAAGGTTCCGACTGTCCCTTCATTCATATCGAATAGTTTTTGGAAAAATAAAATATTGAAAATTTATAAATTTTGGTTAATATCAAAGTGTGTTCAGCCGTACACATTTAATACGACCGATCTGACGAGCTAGCCTCAATTCAATTTGGATTGATTTTGTTGTGCGGGATAATTCGCCACGCATAAGTAATTCGCATTACGCTCTCAGCAATATGAATAAATTTTTAAAGCGCACATAATTTAGTCCAGAACATTTCGGCAATTTTCAAACCCCCAGAAATTTACAAAAATAAGTGGAGGTAAAATATGTTTCTAAATTTGAACTCAGGAAGTCAATGAGATTTTAAAAAATTTTGTTGAAAACTATTATTTCTATCGGCGAAAATTGACTGAATAAAAAAACTAAATCTAGAATAAATTTTCCGTTTTCTTTCGAAAGTCGGAACAATCAAATAATTAAGTATGTTTAAAAAAATGAAAAGTGCGCAACTTAAAACAAGAATCAATCATTTATAAATTTAATTTGAAGTAAAGTGGCCTAGAAAAGTATGAGTACAGCACAATTTGAGCTCAAAAAGTTTTATTGTCGTTTATGCAAATAGGATGGCATTGAGACAAAACATGTTTGATTAAAAAAAAATTCGCAACATTCCATATTAAACATTTAGTTTAGAAGCTTAAGTTTTTTGCAAGTTTTTGCATTTTCATGTTTTCATTTAAAAAAGGTACGCAAAAATGACTGGATCAATTTTTAAATTTGTTGCTTTGAAAAGAACCGATTAGTCTGTGCTATCCAATTTGAGAAAAGCTTAATGATTAAAATTGACAGCATAAAAACGTTTGCATAAAAATAGGAGTTTTTTGCTGTAATGACTTGCTATCTGAAAAAGTTTGAATTTTTGATGCGAATCCACTTTTTTGTCAACTTGCAAGCAATTATATTCTTTAAACAGAACTTGAAAGGCTGCAGTACTTTGTGATACCATAAGTTGGAAATCAATTCAGCCCACAAAAAACATATTCTTTAGTAGCAGAACTTGAAAGGCTGCAGTACTTTGTGATACCATAAGTTGGAAATCAATTCAGCCCACAAAAAACATAGATTTGCAAATAATCTCAATGACCGGAAAAAATTCAATTGCAAAAAACGCTGTGATTTTTTTGAAGAGTTTTATTAGAAGCAATTTTTATACCCAATGAGCGTAAAACGCGATCAAAATTGTGGAGCCACAAAATTTGCTCTATATTTTTTTTGCTATTGACTGTACGTGAAATCGCGATAATAGCGCGCGATTTTTTGAAACTGAAACAATAACAAAAACAACTTCGAAAAACTGAAAACCGAAATGAAAACCAAAAAGTGGTGTTATTAAGGTTTTATATCATCTCATTCTTTCAGATTATTACCTAGTTCGATCTTCTTCTCTTCTTCCGCTATTTAGAAAAAAAACGAAAACTAAAGTTTTTACACCCACATTTGAAACATAAGTTTTTTTTTCAAGTTTTCTCATTTCTATTTGCTCCAGCCTGCGCTCATTGCACAGCAGCCGGTTTTGGTTGTTACCTTGTAGAGATGGTACGTGGATGTGATGGTGGCGAGTACCAGATGATATGTCTTCCCTGGCTGGCACTTGGTCAACACGGCCAGCTGCTGGTTGACATCCACAGGCTGGTTTGTTTTCCCGTTGATCACCACTCGGTACTCTAAACGCACAGGTTTCACACAAAAAAAAAACAAATCAAAAAATTACGAGGGTTAAAATTAGCATAATTGGCCGCTCGATCTTCCCCCGTATTCATGGTTTATGGCTTAGTTTCCATACTGATACTTACATACAGAATGTTCTATTTATTTTTTACATCTAGTTATTACTAGTTTTTCTCAATATTTTTTTTAAAGAAAAATGAGAAGCAGCAGAGTTGATTTTTTAAAAAAATTTAGCCAGTATCGATTGCTCGACTTATACTTTGGCTTTCGAAGTCTAGAAATAGCAGTTTTGGGACCGAATACCCGCGGCAAACTACTTTAAGTCAATCAGAAAGTCGAAACATATCCAACTTTGGTCGGGACGGTCGAAGCATACAGAATTTTGAGAAAGATATTCGAAACATCAGTAACTCGTAAGCTCTCAACTCGGGAGCTTCAGACCAGCCCGAAAACTCTTCTTATGTGAAGGTACATCCAATTTTGAAGGACGACTGACCTATGGTTAAAGACTTCCCAGAAGATGGTAAGCTACACCAGGGGCGGATCAAGGAACTTCTCGAGGGGAGAGGCGAATTTTCAAAAAATATCGAAAATTTTGTCGACCTTTTTTTAGGTCGACCAAATTGATTTTCGCAAATATTTAGAAAGACCCGATAGGTTTGAGTTTATTTCGTTAGTCAGCCATTTTAATTTCTGTCCAATGTTTAGCTGCTAAACATTGGACAGAAATCAAAATGGCTGACCAAAATAAACTCAAATCTATATCAGTGCGCGGTAGCAGCAGAAAAATATATAGCTTGCCTTTGAGATCTCTCCGGATAATCTTGGTCGCAAACACGTTGTCTGGATTCCTGTGTGTGCATGGTTTCGCCCATGACACTCGGATACTTGTAGGCGTGTATCCAGTCAGAACCAAATTACTGGACTTGATGGGCGCCGGAGTCCGGATTATGAGGGGGTCATACACGTGCACAGAGTCGAACTCTTCTTCTTGGTCCGGATTTTGGGCTGACTTTTTGCTCAATTTCTTTCCTTTCTGATTCTCGGGTGGCAGCTTTGATGTAGCTGAAGAAATAATTGTTAAGTTCACATTTTTGTCGCTGCACTAAAAACTGTCCAACTTTTTTTAAAACCATCTCAACCGTTTAAAGAGCTCATCAAAGGCTAAACAATTACAAGAATAAAAATAGCTGCTGCTCAAGCTGCGAGTAGCACAGATTATTTGGACCACATTCTTTTTTCAAGTTGAACTTTCTTTTTTTATTATTTCATCGTTTTTTTTGTGTGTTTGGAGAGGGAATAAAAACTAGTTAAGAAAACGATTAGATGTTTTTTTAGCAATTAAATGTATCAATATTTTTAGGAATTCTATATCACACTTTCACTATAAATTCTAATCTTTTTCCACGAATTTTCTGTGTTTAGCATTGGTATGCATAAGACTATTAATCCGTAAGAAAAAAGGCTAACACACGAGCTGTTCAGTTTTTCATGGAGAACCGCTGTTATGCCCCTGGTTGAAATTTACATGCATTTTTTAGGTTATTTTTCTGGGCTGGGTAATGTTGCCTCACCCTCTAGCAACGAGCACGGATCATGTTGGGCCTCGAACATCCGACCTTTCGTTATACAGACGGAGACGTAACCACTTCACCACCGCTCCTCAAAATATTTCTACCTCATGCCAGATTTTTACATGAAAAAGCTTACAAAGTTACAACACCCGATTACAAAGTTCCCTTTTACTTGGTAGTCGGAACACTTAGCAAAAGTCAAACTATAGTAAAGATGACAGAAACAAAAACGACAAAATTTTTTTAACTGTCCACAAATTGTAGAAATAAATTTGGAAATAAGGTAATAAGACATTGGCATGGAAAATCATACCTTCAAGGTTGATTTGATAAACAGTTGCCGGCTCCAAATCAGACAGGGTAAAACGCCGAGCCTCCGGGTCGACGGAAACACAGTCAAAATACCTCGTCGATTGTCCACCGACATTCTCCGAGTACTCGTTAAACGACACGACCTGCTTCTCGTACTTCAGTTCGACCGAATCATCATTCGGCGAAGTGAATGTCGCCCATTTAAGCGTGATTGAATTGGGCTTCAGCTTGCTAATGACTAGACTTCTTATATCCTCTTTGGGCAAAGTCAAAGAGCTTAAGGTTACATAAGGCAGCCAGTGGTTGACAATTTTTTCGAATCTCATTTCTAGAGGAATCTCGGTCAAGTTTTTCATTTTCTTGTCCTGGCACGCTTCAAAGTACCTGTCTGAAATCACCATTAGAGTGAAATCCCACTGGGTAGTATGGGCTAAATCGGGAACTGTGAATTGGGTTTCGGTGGGAGGAATATTGAAGCACTTCGTCTCAGTATCTGGAGGATCTTGATCCGCTTCAGTCTCAAAAAACTGTTCTCTCACTTCAATTCGATAACCTTAAAGAAACAAATTGCAAAAAAAGTATTAACTGATTTGTTTCACATTTTTTTTGGAAGTAGTTTAATTTTTTTTGCTGCTTGGCAATTTTAATCTATAAATTTTCATTGGCCAATGAAAATTTTTAGATTAAAAATTTCGAGCCCAAATGTTTGAGTGTCTTTTGCAGTGTATAAAATTGAATTTTAGTTTTTTTATGAGTCTTTTTCACACTAAAAAAATAGTGAAGCGAAAAAAATAGGGAAGCTCATAACCATTTGCGTGTTCCAACAAGGATAACTGGTTGCTGTGCAAGTAGCACAGAACGTTCCAAGCACATTTATATAAAACTACAAAAAAATCTTTATTTTTCAAGTTGGTGTCGTTTTGTGTGTGTGTGGTGTGTCATGAAAAGAAATTCAAAATAGGCAAATTGGACTGTAGTATGCGTCAAAAAAGGATAGAAAACCAAAAAAATATATATAATTAAACTCAAAACTTGTTTAATTTTTCTTTTTTTTTCAGTTTTTTTCGAGAATTTTTTTTCAATCTATGAAGTTTTCATTACCAAGATAAAGCCAACCTTTGAAACTAATTTACTGGAGTACACTTAAGTTTTTTTAGATATAAATAAAGGTTTCACGGCTGCTTATCCTTCGGGAAAAAACACCTGCTTTTGGTTAAATTTTTCGTTTCTGACAATGAGAGTACTATTCTTGTATTTAACTATTCAGCTCAGATATTCTCACATCTTTTAAAATTTAAAAAAATAATATTATTTTAAAAACAAAATATTTAACAGATACAGATCAGAATGAAGATGTGGTGGACGACCTGACCTGACTTCAAGAGTAGTAGTTTTCTAATTACTATCTTTTAAAAGTCTTTTGAACTGGAATTTGAAGTAAATAATTTCCATATGATTACTTTCTGTATAATTCAATTTACTTCCATAAGGTTTCGAATATCACAAAAGAGCTTTGTAAGAAATCCAGACAAATTTCGGATACTTAATTCATAAAATGAAAAACACCTTTGGCTTGATTGTAGCTACTTTACTAACAAAATTTGGTGACGAGGCACTTGAAAATTTCATAATGACCCTTAGAATAATTGTAAAAACAAAAATTACTAGAACATGAAACATATATATTTTTTGGGTCTTGAAATTGCTTCGAATCTATAAAACCTAACAAATTGTTTTGACTTCATTTTTATTGGATGCAATCAAACCTGCTATTCTTTCCAATTTGCAATAAATTTTCTAATTCAACATTGAATGGATCTACTTAACAATTGCCCCCTTTTAAGAAAGGGGGGGGCAACTGTTAAGTAGATTAAAATAAAGCATTTTGACCAATCAGAAAGCAGCAAAATTATAATTCTCAATAGAAAGCTCAGTGCTAATTTATTGCTTTTATTAATAGGGGTGGCAATTCTTAGGTAGATACCACAGGGAGGGCAATTGTTCAGTATATCCAATTGATTTGATTTTCCATGTTTTTCTCCTTGATAGTTAGTACAGAGTTTGTAAATAGCTTCTTTGGCCAATATGGAGCAATTAAAGCGCAATTATTGTTCCGACTTTCGAAAAAAAAAACGAAACTTTTATGCTTGGTGTGTTTTTTACTCACTCAGTCTTCGGAGATCGAAATAGCAGTTTTTAACAAAAAAAATTTCAGCACCATTGACGCTATAATTCCCTGAAATCAAATTTAAATTTATTTTCTATCTCCGGTCATTTTTTGCAAATTTCTGCGAGTTTAAAAATTGCCAATTTCGCCATACTTTGTACTAATTTATGCTCACTTAGAAAATTTTATCCAGTAATCTTGAAAACTTAACGCTAATTATTTACGCGTGGCGAATTATCCCGCACAACAAAATCGTCTTATTAACTTCGTACAACTGAAATTTTTACACTAGATCTTTGATATTGTCCAAAATTTATTGTTTTTCAATATTTTTCTTTACCAAAAGTATATTTGATATGGATTAAGGGGCAGTCGGAACATTCAGGGCTTCGCCCTGATATACGAGCAGCCTTGTTGTGTTCGAGCGGCGATTTTGTCTGCATCAGAATTCGTAACAAATTAAGTTGAGGAAGGCTGTTTGTTCTTAAAATTTTTCCTTCTGTATTTTAAATGGCGCGAGAGGAAAAGATTCAAAAACAAACTTTTTTCATTTTTTTAAGCCTTATAAATTATCTTTGAAGGGCAGTCGGAATATTCAAGGCTGGGCTATGATACGAGCTGAGCTGTTTTGTTATGAGTTACTGCAAAATTAATTGATGATAACTTTAATGACGTTTTGCTATGCATTGAAAGTGGTTTTTATCGCTATCTTTATAAAACTTTAGAAAAATTCAAAGATTGAAAATTTTTAAAATTAATATACAAGCTGGTTCTTGAATCAAATGCACCCTCAAAGAAAATATAAAGCCGGTCTGTAAAAAACCAGAAATTGTGATGTGAAACTAATATGCTGATACTACAAACTGTGATAGGTCGAAGCTCGTGAGGGGACACCTCCCCTCCCCTCACATAACATCACCCCCTCCCCTCCAAAAATGAACTAAGGCACGCGCAATGTTGTGTTTAGCTGATTGAATACTGTTGATTTTCATTGTGTTTAGATGTTCCTAGTCTTAGAAAAGCTTACCGTACAACTGGTATCCGTCTACGAGGGGCTGTGTCCAGCCTATGGTCACACTGTCACTGGTGCGCCCCACCACTCTCGGGTCACGAGGCTTCTCGGGTGGGGCTCCTGTGCTGAAGGCGATGACGTCACTAACACTCTTGACCAGCAGATTGCCGAACTCGTTCTCTTCCTCTCTTCGCGCCTCCACAGCCAAGTTGTACCTGAAAAAAGATGAGGTGGTATATAAAAATGCGATGTTATGTAATAATTATGTAAATGTTTCATAACAATTATGTAACAGTTACGAAAGTTATGCAAATTCATTCATATGATGTAACTTTTCGGCTGGCCTATATACTCCGCGCATTTTCGGTTGGTTTATACTTCGGCTGGTTTATTTACTCTCAAATAATGAATGCAAAGCATCCATTAGTAGTTTAGTTTTAAAGCCCAGAGGGCGCATATCAGCTTAAACATTTGTTGTGGTTCCTTCCTTCGATTCGCAGAGGATCTATGAAAGGTATCTAGCCTGTCTAAGCATTGTCAGTTTCTCTTATTTACCCACATTCCAGACTGTGTTATCTTGTTAAGCGAAATTTTTTTTTGCTACTCTAGGTTACAGCTAGACGTCAGGTTACAAGGGCTCAATTACACGATCTGACGATATCGAAGTGAACGCCTCTCCCCTATGTTAATTGCCTCATTTATTGATCTCTTACCTGAACTTTTTGATTTCTTTGTTTTTTTTGCGAGTTTCGATCATTACACTAATCTGAAAAAAGAGTAGTCGGTCGCTGTGCAAGCAGCACAAAATACTTCGAACTCACTAATAGTTTTTAATCAAATTTTAAAAAAATGCCCCTTAACAGTTTAGTTGAAAATAAGTTCGAAGGTTTAAAAACCACATTGCCTTAAAAAAACATGAAGTCACATTGCAAGTGCACTACTGTAAATTATTCTGAAAGGCAAAAATATTTGGACCAATTTTTTCTCGAGTTTGATTTGAAAACTTTGAATGCCGGGATGGGTAACGGTTAGAGGCGACTTTATTATTGCCCATTTTGTCTGGTCTCGCCGATGGTCCTATTTTACGACATCTATTTTCGGCCGAACGACCCCAAATTTTTTGAAGGCGTCCTCATATATTATACACCCCCCTACCTCGAAAATACTAGATCAACCACTGTGTTCAATGTTTTGTGTTCAGTTCAGAAAAGAATGATCAAAATATTCTGCACTATGCTTGCAAACTGGTTACAAAATTGAGTTTTTAACAAGTTAATAAGTTATGTGCTGAGCTGACCTGGCATTGGGTTTGAGGAACTGGAGGCTGACCTCGTTGTGTTCGGTGTCTGTTTCATATGCCTCCTCGTCCCCCTCATACCACCAGTAGACTCTGTAGTGGGACGCCTTCTTGAAGTGTACACTCTTCAGCAGCTTCGCTACACACATACACACGCACAAACATAGGGATACATTGTCAATTTAATCATTGAAGAGAATGCGCAAAACATCCGAAATCACAAACAGTCAAAAATTGGGTGGCCTTTTTGCTATTGCTAAGCCTGTGTTTCTCTCAGTGAAAGGAAATTTCTAGCCATATCACAAGATTCAGTACTGGAGTTATATTGATGGCTGATTTTTTAAATCATTTTACTACCGATATGCGTTAAATGGATTTCATAATGGAAGCTCGGAAACACTCGATGATTTGTACTTACCTAAAACTATGAATCATTAATGATATATAGAATAATTGAGTTCAGCTAAACAAGAACATATATTTGCTATGCAAGTAGCAGAAAAGGTTCATTACGGCGCCCCAATTTTTTTGAAATGAAATCTTCATACGATCGTAAAATTAGAATCTAAAGACACATGATAAAATACTTAACGGATTTGTTTATCATCCCGCAGTTGGTTTCCATGGATAATAATTGATTATAATCGATTTTTGTGGTCAAATATGTTGGCGTTATAATCAATTATAATTACATTTTGGGACCAAGCAATCGATTATAAATCATCATAATCCATTGTTATTGGCGGTGGGTAGGTTTAGAAATCGAGTAGGCTGTGAGTAATGCAGAAAAATTTGCAAAGTATGCAGAAAGCTTTGAAACAAATTAAAGAGATTATAATCTATCACCATCCACTCTAATGGATTTTAAATGAATTATAGTTGATTGTGATAGATTATATGGAGGCGGAGCAATAAGCTGAATCGTCCAAATGCAGAATGGGTCCAAGAGCAGAAAAACAGAGCAAAATTGACTTACGTTGGTTTATACGGGCTAATTGATAAAGCAAATCATTAGAATGGTCCAAAATACCAAGAAAACGAATAAATTATACATGAATTGAATATTTTCATTAAGTTTTTTATTAAAATTTTTTGAAATATCTTTATTAAATTATTCAAGTTATGCATAAAATGTTCGTTGCATTGTTTTTATTGACATTTCTGATAATTAAGTAACCGATTAGCTTATAAAAGTTGATATTTTTCAGTTTTTCTGCTCTTGGACCCTCTCTGCCCTTAGACCATTCTGCTTATTGACTGGCAATCAGAATATATTCTCTATAAATTTTTTGCACACTTTGCAACTTTTTCTGCATTACTCACAGCCTACTCGATTTCTAAACCTACTCACATTTAGTTATTTAATGCAAAACCAAATTTTTGCACCTACCCTCAAACCCTCGCACCTACCCACACCCCTTTACGCCACCCCGCCTACCCTCACCCCACCTACCCCCTAACTACACTCCCAGCCTAACAACCCCCCCCCCCCAACTTACTCCACTACCCACCCTTAAGCCGCAACTACCTCCTCTTCCTCCACCTACCCCAACCCTCCCCCCTACCCCAACACTCTCCTCACATATTTTTGCTGTAGCCAAATGTAAAACACAATTTAACAATTGTAAAGTCAAAGTTTTGAATATTCGATTTTAAGGCTTTGGAAAAGTCAAGCTCTTACTCTTAAAAATCAATTATAATCCATTATAATCTTTTATAATCCGTAATAATCCATTATAACGGATTAAATTGATTTCTGCTTCATTTGCTATATATTCGCTTGCAGGCCATTTTAATCGATTGTTTTAGAATTTTATGTAGACGACCATGAAAATCCTTTATAGTCAATTTCTATCCAGGGAACTTCATTGCGGGATTGCTTAGGCCTTTTTCGCTGGGTTCTATGACAATTACTTTGCCAAAATTTTGTGTAGGCCATCTTTCTCTGGATTCCATTCACAAAAACCACTAACGCGTGCAAAAAACGTGTCTATAAAACCAAAAGCAAGCGAGCTTACTTTTGTGCTCTGTTATAAAACCGAGATTGGCGCCGCAATGTTTCGACCACAGTTAGATTTGCAAAACAGAAGATTTTTAAAATAATTTTCGGTTTACAATTGTTTTTGTCAGTTTTATGTGCAGGTGGGGTTGAAAAACACTAAAAATTCAATTTGAATACCCTTCAATATAACAAACATTTGGCTGTTTAACCCATTGGAAATGATAGCAATCTTAACTGCCCAGGTTGACCACCCAACAGTAAATCTCTTAACCTGGAACTTTTAAAGTTTTTGAAAAAATAACTACTATTTTATAACATTTTAGCAGGAAAAGTTCTCAGATATCAACTTTTCCCGCAAAAAAAACAATGGACATAATTTTTTTTTCGAAAAATAGCCAAAAATAATTTTGAATGTGTTTCGATACCGCTTTTACAGATTTGCAGTATTTATTAGAATGGTGTGGTGCATATTTAGCGTTTGAACATTAATTTGGAGTCATTCAATCATAGGTTTTGCTGAATCACCTTAAATAGTTTTGTACGTGTTTTACAAAAGTTTAGATATATAATAATGAAAACTCGCATACAGGTTGCATCTAAAAAGCAAGATGCACTTCCTTCGCTTAGTTTATGTGGCGAGCTGTTTAATGCGATTTCCGTACATAAAATTTTTTGTTTGAAATGTTTCTACATTTTAACGCTTTAAAAAAAATCCTATCTTGTAACATTCTTCGAGCCTAAATCTTTGAGAAGTTGTAAGATTTTGATGAGAAAAATCCAAAGGTTACCACCTTTTCATCAACCCGAGTGTTAATTGCTCAGTATGAAGAAGGAACTTTCGGAATTCGACGTCATCTGATATTATGTGTTACCTAATTTTGCTAGAAAAAAACACAAACACAATGTTCGTCTCCTTTTTTTTTGGTCGAAACCTTAACACCTAACATAGTTCTACTCGTTATTTGATGATGAATGATGATATGATGTTATCAGGTTGAATTATTGTTCTCCTAGAAGCGGGGCAAACAAAATTGAGTTCAAACCAAGCTGTGCAACGTTATTTTATTATTGGTGACCTTTTTCGTGATAAAACCGATGATGAATCATACCATACCTTCAAGTTCAGGATCGTCAGGCTCTGTAAATTTCAGTCAATTTAAAATATGATATTCAATTCGTCTAATTAAAACACTGTTTTTTGTTCAGCCACACATTAAAATACTCAATATTCAATTCGTCTAATTAAAACACCGTTTTTTTTCAGCTCACAACATTAATAATCAGGAATTGACTTATAATACTTTTGGGAACATTAAATGTCAAAAATCAACTAATAAAAATTCAGAGAAAAAATATAGATTGCATATAGTAGAATAATAAAATCTGAGAAAAAATATTAAATATGAAGAATATATATTTTTTCAAAATTAGAAAAAAAAATGGCTTTTGGAGTAAAAAGAACATATATAAGCATTTTTCGGTTAGTTTAGTTCGACAGTTTTAGAAAAAAAATCTATTTCAACTTTGATGTTACCATTCACTTTCGCTGAAATAACATATTTGTGCGCACATTTAAATTCAAAACAGTAGTGCAACAGTAGATTATTTGTGATATACTTACTCCACTTAGGACGTGAACTCCCTGGAAATGAAAACTGATAAGAGATTTCCAAGAAAGCGGAAAAATGTTACGTAATAGTCTCTGTTGGTAATTTTTGAAGTTGGTAAACTTTTCAAACATTTTGGAAAATGCAAACATGCAGATTAAATAGCCATTTAGAGATTGAGATTTGCCGCGGAAAGTCCCACTGAAATATAAGTTGATAGAACGAGGGATGAAACTTGACCCAAACGAGGGATGATTTGAGCCAAACTAGAAAAACCAAGTACATACATCACATGACCTTTAGTCCTTCCACTTTGGGTACAACAATACAAATGAAGGCTGCTTCCAACTCGAATATAAATGATATATGTTAGAAAGTTAGGCTTGGAAGCAGCCTAGGTTTGTTAGTTTCCCGCAATTTATAAGCCCCGAAACGTAAAAAAAAAGATTTCTAAAAATATTTCTGTCAAAGTCCTACAGTGAACTTTACAATGTGAACTTAAAAATGGTAGATTAAAGCCAGAGGTAGGCTGTTCGAAGCTAAGCAAGAGCCCGTTTTGCTCAGTTTGTTGAGTAAACTATCTCTGATATCACAAATGACCACCATTGTTCCATCGATGATTCAGAACTGTAGTAGTATTTCACTATCTGTCTCTGTTTTTTTGATATTTCTGTCCAAATAGTTAATGAAAAATACAAAATTGCAGTTAAATATTACACCAAAAAAGCAACAAATTTTCTACGCTTACGGCTTTTTTCTAGGTAAAAAATTTTGCTGAATAGAATCACGAAATCATTTTTTCAGATTGCACTTCTATCAACCAAAGACATTTTTTGAGCTCGCCTTCTTTTTAGCTATTTTAAAAAATGCATGTGGCATAAGTACAGTTTTTTTTTCATTTATTTATTTGCTTTGTTAGCGCTTAAAATTTTTGTTCCTATGCAAACTTAACAATCAGTTATTTTTTTGCTTTATTTTTTCTCAAAATTCATTTTCTTCAAGAAAATTTAAAATAGATTTGAAAGTTTTAGCAAATTTAGTTTTGTTTCGAACTTTTTGAAAAAACCCCCTAGTGTTTTGTTTTATCTTCTGTCGGCTAGTTTGCCATGCTATGCCTGTTCTGTACCGCAAAAAAGCAAAGCTTATTTGAACAATTTTATTGAATTTTATTTTTGATTACTTTACAATTAAGAAACCTCTAGTTTTCCAAATTTCAAAACTATTTGTGATCGGGATGTTGTTTGCCGCAGAAATTTCAAGTTTTCATTAAACTATTTTCGAAAAGAACTTTTTACATTGTCAAATATATTGATGGTTAGAGCTCAAAATTTACAAAGGTTATGTAATCATCCGAAAACCGCTTTTGCAAAAATATGGGTGCTTGCAAATCGTTAAATTGGCCTGTTTGGAATAGTTATTTTAGAAAACTTCTAATTTTCTCAACGCGATTCCAGGGGAGGATCGAGAATTTTCTCGGGGGGGGGGGGGAGGGTTTTCAAAAACTTTTCGAAAATTTATTTGTCGACCTAATTTTTTAGGTTAAGCAAACTGATTTTCTGAGCTCTAAAAAATCACCAGAAAGACCTTATTTCAGCCATATGTTCTGCGCCAAAACAAAGCGAAAAAAAACAGGTCAAAAAGCGTTTTTATCCAGTTATTGGTAAAATTTGACGTCAAAATCGTTTTTTTTTCTGAGGGTACGCTCTGCCGTTAAAATGACTATGTATTGGCGCTAACGGCGCTTTTAGAAAATATTTTAATTTCGATTAACCAAAAACAGATATCTTGAAGTAGTAACAAAAAGTGGGACACTTTGAGTCAGCAGGGGGTCAAATCCCTGAGGGGAGGGCGTCTGTTTACCCCCCCCCCCCCCCCCCCGAAGTCTACCATTGACTACAGAACTTTTCACTAACTACCTCATAAATCTTTAGTTATTGTAGGGTAGACAAAACAAATAAAAAAAATTTGTTGGTTTGCTATGTTGACACCAAAAATTGCTAGTTTTTGCCCTGTTTTGTATTATAAAATTGGCAATACTTCTGGTAAAGCGAGAAGAACACAAGAAAATGCGAAGCTCTGCTTTAACTCTGTGTAAAACTTGAAATTGTTTCTTCAAGTTTATTGATTTTTTGTAGAATATTTACAATTAAAAAAAAATTCCTAGTTTTGCAGTTTTTAAAGAAGAAAATGACAAATATTTGAGACCGGGATATTCTTTCCTGCATAAATTTCATGTTTTTTTAAAACAAAAAATTTGTACAGTCTGAATTATATTGATGATTAGATCTCAAAAATTACAAATTCTACGTAATCATCTGAGAACCTCTTTTGTACAGTTATGGGGGTTTGCTAATTGTGAGTTTGGCCTGTTTGTGATAGATATTTCAAAAAAAACTCTTAAATTTTGTAACGCGATACCAGACGCGGATTTAAGATTCGATAAAAATGGGGAGGCTGATTTTCAAAAACATTCCGAAAAATTTCTCGACCTTCATTTTAGGTCGACCAAATGGATTTTTCGAGTGATCCCATAGCAATATAAACACCCTATTTTGACTATAAATTTTGCTCGATTGACTAAAGTTTTTGGTATGCCCATTCCCCGCTCCTTCCCCACTATATCCGCCCCTACGCGCAGCGTAAGCAATGAACCAAACTGATTTATACATATTGGCGCCAAGGGCGGTTTTAGAAAAATTTTAGATTCAGTGAGCTAAAATCAGATGTCTTAAAGTAATGCCTTAAAGTAAAGACATCTGACGAAAACTTTTCAGAAACTTTTCACAAACTTTTCAGAAACTTTTCACAAACTTTTCACAAACTACTTCATACATCTGCAGTAATTGTAGGGTAGACAATAAAAATTATAAGAGAATAATTGTTGGTTTGCTTAGTTGAAAACAGAATAAGATTATTCAAATTATTTATTTTCCCTGTAGATTATTTATCCTTAAAGATTATTTATTTTCCCTGTATTGTTTCAAAAAATTGGTACTACTTGTGTGTAAAACGAGAGAAGCGCAAAAAAAATGCGAAGCTCTACTCAAGCTGAGTGTAAAAGCTCAAAATGTTTGAACTTTTTTGTATATTATTTTACAATTGCTTGTTGGGGGAAGTATTCACACATAATGAAAAAATTCTCTGCGTTCGAAAAAGCATTTTTAATCAAATTTTAACCTGAAAGCAAAAAAATAACAAAACAGCAACAACGACTATAGTTGGTGCAGGCCAGCATCAAACCTAATTGTTCAAAAAAATGGATTCCAATGTAAATCCATTCAAAAAAACAGGCAAAATATTTAATGTCCCTACCCACAGACCATAGTGACCACTGTACTGTGGCACTTGAACCCTGTATGTCCTTCACCACTATGTTTGATGGTCCATGAACTAGTCCCCTGTATGGCACCACTATGCTGTACCCTGGCAGACAACCTTCATAGCCCTGGATCGCTTGAGTGCTCTGGCGTATTTTTTTCGTCTGAGCAAACAGGCTCTGTAGTTTGCGCTGCTCGGCGGCTAAAAACAATAAAATACATTTTAAAATCAAAATGGTTACAAAACTTTGTATGTTCGTTAGATTGAAAACATCAATTTTACTTGATGCAACTAGCTTATAAAAATGAATGCTAACTTTCCAGTTTTGATCCAGAAGCGATCTTCATGAAGTACTGCGAAGTAGTGTAGCCTTCGATCACAAATGGCTTCTTACAGATGAGGTGGTCACACAGAGCCACCAACTGCACTCTGTAGAAAGAGCCAGGCACTGCTTCGTCTATGCAGCCAGTTCTACTTTCGGGTGACAGCACTGGACCGTGCGGCTCACCGTCCTTGATCAACTGGTAGCCCTGGAAAAAGAAGCAGTTTTAGGCAGCTTAAAAGGAGTTGATTGGTTTCAAATTTTCGGGCTTTTCCCAATTCTATTTCCAGACCCCCTCCCATTCAATTTTTGGTGGCTATAATTTTGCTGTTACTAGGCAGGCGGGGGACTATAATGGGAAAGACTCAAATTTCTGCACATTCGGTCGTTTAGTCAGAGAATAGTCCTGGTTTATACACACTTTAAGGTCAATTTACAAAAAAAATGGTTAAATTTCATTGAAATTGAAAAATGCTGGATAAAAATCTCAGATAAAGCATTTGAAATTGTATTTTAAATAGTATTTATAGAATTAAAATAACATTTACAAATAAAGCATAAAAATCCTTTCTAATTTTTCAGAATGAGAAAAAAAAAACAGAAAAAAAAAAAAAAAAAAATCCTGTCAATAAAAAAAATTGTTCTTTAACAAACCATCACTTTCGCATCTCCGAACTCTATGGGGTCCTCCCACTGCATCTGGAATCCCCCCTCGTAGAGGCACTTAATGGTGAGGGTGCCTGGGATGGGGGGAGCACAGGGGGAAAACTTGACGGAATTGCTCTCCTCGCTGATGATCTCACACACTCCGAAAGATCCAGTTTTGGACACCTCATTCGTGCCCACGTGAGTCTTTAAACAACTCAAACTAATCATATCTAATTGAAGTTTCTGATGCAGTCTCAAAAAAAATGCAAAATCATTTTTTATTAATTCTGTTTTAGCAGAATCTGTATATATTTGATTGTGTACTTGTGCCAAAAAGTTCAATCGTGCCAAAAAAAAGTTGATCAAAGTTATTTTTACACATCCCAGGTAAGTGAGCACGTAATTAACTCAAATTGGCTGAACTTAAAAAGTAAAAATCGCCTACTTAATACAAAGTAAAATTTCATCTTCAGAGAGCCATGAATTTTTATTTAAAACAAAAAAATGCTACGGAAGACATGAATGGTCCAATTGCTCTTTAACATATTGGATTTAATTTTTGCTACAAAAATCATTTTAAAAAATTCCAAAAAAAATTTAAAATGGACGTCTTTTTTTTGAGCGGCCCAAAAGTATAATTCTAGAAACATTCTAGCAGCAGAAATAAATTGCTCGCTTTGCTGCTTTATTGAAAAAAATTGGTTCAATAATATTAGGTTTTTGAGATTTATTATTGATGCGGTGCTGTTTATAATATTTTAGGCCGCTTAAGTAAAAGGGGCCAAAGCCTTCTCTCTCAAAAAAAATCAAGAGCAGTGAATGTCAAAACTCAGTGTTGCTTCTACCACGGCAATAATTGCATCAATTGTCACAACTCAATATGCAATGATTTTCAAACCGGATACACTGGCAGCGGTTACGTAGCAGTATTTAGACAACCGCGTATTCAGACACTGTATTAACCAATCAGAATCGAGACAAGGAATATATGAAATTGATTTCTTGCTTGGCTCAATTCTGATTGGTTAATAAAATGTCTGAATACGCGGTTGTCTAAATACAGACTGCACTTCACTCGCAGCCTACATCACAGACTATTGGAAATAGAGAAAATTGGAAATTTCGGTCGATTGGCATTCTCCAAACCGCAAAAAAAAAAAAAAAATTGCCGCAGGAATAGCATGTTTTTAACTTTGACCTCAAAATGGCAATATTTTTCAGACTCAATAGTAAAAATGCGTCAAAAAAACTTAAGTAGAATTACAAAACTCGTCTTATAAGTTGAATTAGTTTCAATCGAAAGTCAGGTAAAATTTGATAGCCTGAGCAGTATTATTCTAAAACTCACACATGAAAATGCTTGAATTCGTTTCAATCGAAACCAAGTAAAATTTGATAGTCTGCTGAACAGTAATATTCAAGCATCCACACATGAAAATGCTTTGAGTCGTCTACAGTTCAATTTAGATAGACTAAAACGCATAATTGTCAAAAAGAACGGCCTTGCAAGCAGCGACGCTTGCTTTGCTTTGCGATTCGCTCCCGCACCGAGCGCCCGTGGAATCTGATCGATTAAAATGGTTTCCCGAGACAGGAATAATCCATTATAATCCATTAAAGATGTAAAATTCAGACCGCGAAATCGATTATATTGCCATTATAATCAATTATTTTTATAATCCGTTATTTTTGGCAAGGGAATCGATTCTTTTTGCCAAAAGAATCCATTATAATCGATTAATTTTGAAATGAAAATCCATTATAATCCATTATAATTGATTCTAATTCACTTTATTTTACGAACTTATGTCGATTTTTGCAGAAATTTATGCAAATTTAGCAGAAAATTTGCAAAATGTATGCCAAGTCTTGGGGACAAACTTGGGGATGAGAGACTGAACCAGGAGGGGTTCTGGGTAAACTGGGGACGACTCGGGAGAGGGGGGGAAATAGAGGGGGTGTCAATTATTAACACACTCCCCCAAATTCTACCAATATATTATCCTCCCATGTTCAACCATAAGGGGGCGAATGGCGGTTGTGGTAAAATAGTAGAGAGTGGTGGGGGGGGGGGTAAACGGGAGGGAGGGTAAAATTAGGGGGGGGGGGGAGTAAACTGATATGAATTGAAAAACGCGAGACAAAAAAAATAAAAATTTGAAAGAGAAATGTAACATTTTATGAAACGTAATACGTAGCAATTGCACTAAACAGAAACTTTGAAATAACTTTGAAAATTTTGTTAATTGCATGATTAATTTCTCGAAAAAATCCATTTTGATGGATTATAGTGAATTATTTTGGCATAAAAACTGATAGGATTATATTGCATTTTTAATGGATTATAATCAATTATAATAGATTATATTGACATGAAAAAATATTAGGATCCATTATTATCGATTATTTTGCAATTTTATAGATACTGAGCATATTGTGACAAAATAATCGATTATGATCCATGTGTGCTCGGTGCTGGCTCCGCAGTGCTCTGTTTTATTGTTCCGACTTTCGAAGAAAACGGAATACTTTTGCTCGGTGTGGTTTTTTTTTATTCAGTCAAATTTCGCCGATCGAAATAAAAGTTTTCAACAAACATTTTTAAAAAGCCGATAGAAGATATCGACTTCCGCAGTTCAAATGAAAAAAGATATTTTACCTCCAATTGTTTTTTGTAAAATTCTTGGGGGGGGGGGGTTTGAAAATTGCCAAATTGGCCATGTTCTGGACTATTTATATTCCTGAGAGCGTAACGCGAATTATTTGTGAGTGGCAAGTTATCCCGCACAACAAAATAGTTCCAAATTGAATTGAGGCTAGCTAGTCAGATTGGTCATATCATTTTCGTACGACTCTTAAATTTCACATTTATTGTCCAAATTTTGTAGATTTTCATAATTTTCTTTTCCCAAAAACTTTTCGATACGAATAAAGGGACAGTCAGAACATTAAGGGCTTTGCCCTGATATACGAGCAGTCTTGTTGGCGCTTGTAGCGGAAGACCACAGACACTTGTTGTATACACAAAAATCCGACTTTTTTGTTGTTTTGGATGTCATCTGATAATTTTCAGTAGATTCTACAATTCTTTTCCTCCTATTTGTTTTTTTAATGTTTCTTTTATTTCTGCATTTCGTCGTTGGATTTGTCAGTTTATCACAAGATTCCGCATTTTGTCATAGGAGCTTCAAAAATCAGTTTTTGAATATGAATGAACTTGCGCTAGCTCAACTGCGGAATCCACTGGAAAATTTTAGAATCTACCGACATTTTATCGACTTCCCTTCGATTGACAAAGCGCAACTGTCAGTGAAATCCAAAACAAGCATGGTTAAGTAGTTGTCTCTAGAAACCATAATGTCTTTGAAGTCCAGATTTTTCATCGCTAGCCAAATTTCAACTTATATACCATGTGTGATTCAATTTCTTGTTTCAAAGATCTAAGGAAATCGGTGCAGATTTGATGGAATCCAGCAAGAATATCCATGGAATCCAAAGCAATACCGATGTAACCGAGATTGACGGCGTACTGCTTGTAGTCGGCACGTGTGCGCATGAATGATTTTTCGTTCATGCGTATTTTATGAGCTGTCAAATTTTAAGGAATTCGCCACCCAGAAAATGAAAACGAGAGAAAACAAACCATTATTGTTCCGAGTTTCAATACGAAAGTAACGGAATATTTGTGCTCGGGGTGGGGTTTTTTTTTCTTCAGACAAATTTCGACTTTTTAACTAGCCATTTTTGACGGAATTTTTTAATATCATTCGAAAGGTATTGTTGTCCTGAGCTCAAATTTGAAAAGATATTTCACCTGTGATCATTTTTCGTAAAGTTATGGGGTTTAAAGATTACCATTTTGGCCAATTTGGGACAATTAACGCGCGATATATTTCGCGCTATTAACGCGTAAGCGGAGAGTTAATCCGTCTTAAAATCGTTCCAAATTGGTTAAAAGAAGCTTATTTGCCATAATTGATTGGTTACAAGGAGCTAAATCTATCTTTTTGTACTTTAAATGGCGTGTGGGGGGATGATTTTCATAAAAAATTTCAAATTAAAAAAAAAATTTTTTTTTAATTTTATTACATTTAATTTTTTAATGTTATTACTGCTCCATAAATCTTAAAAGGCATCGGAACATTCAGGGCTTCGCCCTGATACGAGCAGTCTTGTTTAAATTTTAAAACTACGCTGAAAAAGTTTTCTTCAAGCTTTGCAGCAGAATATTTTCGTTGACGCATTGAAGCGTTGACACATCGAACTTTCGACCAGTAAAGAATTGAGGTAAAATGGGCAAAGGCTCAGAAACTGAATTCAAGAGTTTTCGGCACTGTTAAGCGGAACTTTTAATATTCAACTTACGTTTTTAAACAAAAAACTTAAACGCCAGTTTTTTGTGATACCATCAACTTTGAACAAAAGAGAAAGAACATTTGGATCTTTTTAACTATTGACCCCTTTTGCAAAAGGGGAAGCTTTGTTACTAGGTAAAACTTAATGTAGGCTGATTCATTGAGTTTTTTTTATAGGGAGGGGCAATTCATTTCTAGGTATCTTGGGGGGGGGGGGGGGGGTTAAAGAAATACGAACAATAATCAGGAAATAAGAATTTATCTCACCTGTACATAACAACGGTAATGCTCGCCTAAATTTAGATCCTGGAAAGTGTAGAACATGTCTTCTTGTGAGTTTGTGACGGCCACTTTGTGGAACAAGAATGCCTTGTTGTTGCCGAGGCCGAGGAAGATGCTGCACCAGTTGACTCGCTCGGTCTTCTGCTCACAGCTACCCACCGTCCATCTTATTCTGAAAAATGACGGGAAAAAGTACAAAGAAAGAACGCTCAAAATGTTGAAGTTCCTGAATAGAAAACATTGAAACTATTGTTAAGATAAAAGTTTCACGGATCTACCTTGATAGTTTCCTTGTCTATGTCGCCAAGATGACAGAAGGATTTTAAGCCGTCAAGTAGCATTTTTCGGTCTTACCATATCAAAAAAATAAATATTCATTGATTTGAAAATTGCACTTTTGAATAGACGAGTTCAAGAATTATATCTCACTGGACTTTTCCGACATCCTCAATAGGCATCAGTTCTAATTTGGGTGTCTCTGGCCTCTCGGGAACTCGGACGAGAATCGGATCCGAGAAGTCACTGTCACCACTGCTGTGACTTGACAACACCTTTACTCGCACTTCATGCAGCGAGTCTGAAAAAGTCAACGGTAAAAGACTCCTCTTCCAATCATTTTTTTTTATTTCGAACGGTATACCGAACTGTATAAAATCCCTTTATTATCCATTTTAGTGCCGGATCTTGTTAACTATTCTTCCAATCATTTTTTTTATTTCGAACGGTATACCGAACTGTATAAAATCCCTTTATTATCCATTTTAGTGCCGGATCTTGTTAACTATTCTTCCAATCATTTTTTTTATTTCGAACGGTATACCGAACTGTATAAAATCCCTTTATTATCCATTTTAGTGCCGGATCTTGTTAACTATTCTTCCAATCATTTTTTTTATTTCGAACGGTATACCGAACTGTATAAAATCCCTTTATTATCCATTTTAGTGCCGGATCTTGTTAACTATTCTTCCAATCATTTTTTTTATTTCGAACGGTATACCGTACTGTATAAAATCCCTTTATTATCCATTTTAGTGCCGGATCTTGTTAACTATTCTTCCAATCATTTTTTTTATTTCGAACGGTATACCGTACTGTATAAAATCCCTTTATTATCCATTTTAGTGCCGGATCTTGTTAACTATTCTTCCAATCATTTTTTTTATTTCGAACGGTATACCGAACTGTATAAAATCCCTTTATTATCCATTTTAGTGCCGGATCTTGTTAACTATTCTTCCAATCATTTTTTTTATTTCGAACGGTATACCGTACTGTATAAAATCCCTTTATTATCCATTTTAGTGCCGGATCTTGTTAACTATTCTTCCAATCATTTTTTTTATTTCGAACGGTATACCGTACTGTATAAAATCCCTTTATTATCCATTTTAGTGCCGGATCTTGTTAACTATTCTTCCAATCATTTTTTTTATTTCGAACGGTATACCGAACTGTATAAAATCCCTTTATTATCCATTTTAGTGCCGGATCTTGTTAACTATTCTTCCAATCATTTTTTTTATTTCGAACGGTATACCGTACTGTATAAAATCCCTTTATTATCCATTTTAGTGCCGGATCTTGTTAACTATTCTTCCAATCATTTTTTTTATTTCGAACGGTATACCGTACTGTATAAAATCCCTTTATTATCCATTTTAGTGCCGGATCTTGTTAACTATTCTTCCAATCATTTTTTTTATTTCGAACGGTATACCGAACTGTATAAAATCCCTTTATTATCCATTTTAGTGCCGGATCTTGTTAACTATTCTTCCAATCATTTTTTTTATTTCGAACGGTATACCGTACTGTATAAAATCCCTTTATTATCCATTTTAGTGCCGGATCTTGTTAACTATTCTTCCAATCATTTTTTTTATTTCGAACGGTATACCGTACTGTATAAAATCCCTTTATTATCCATTTTAGTGCCGGATCTTGTTAACTATTCTTCCAATCATTTTTTTTATTTCGAACGGTATACCGAACTGTATAAAATCCCTTTATTATCCATTTTAGTGCCGGATCTTGTTAACTATTCTTCCAATCATTTTTTTTATTTCGAACGGTATACCGTACTGTATAAAATCCCTTTATTATCCATTTTAGTGCCGGATCTTGTTAACTATTCTTCCAATCATTTTTTTTATTTCGAACGGTATACCGAACTGTATAAAATCCCTTTATTATCCATTTTAGTGCCGGATCTTGTTAACTATTCTTCCAATCATTTTTTTTATTTCGAACGGTATACCGAATTGTATAAAATCCCTTTATTATCCATTTTAGTGCCGGATCTTGTTAACTATTCTTCCAATCATTTTTTTTATTTCGAACGGTATACCGAACTGTATAAAATCCCTTTATTATCCATTTTAGTGCCGGATCTTGTTAACTATTCTTCCAATCATTTTTTTTATTTCGAACGGTATACCGTACTGTATAAAATCCCTTTATTATCCATTTTAGTGCCGGATCTTGTTAACTATTCTTCCAATCATTTTTTTTATTTCGAACGGTATACCGTACTGTATAAAATCCCTTTATTATCCATTTTAGTGCCGGATCTTGTTAACTATTCTTCCAATCATTTTTTTTATTTCGAACGGTATACCGAACTGTATAAAATCCCTTTATTATCCATTTTAGTGCCGGATCTTGTTAACTATTCTTCCAATCATTTTTTTTATTTCGAACGGTATACCGAATTGTATAAAATCCCTTTATTATCCATTTTAGTGCCGGATCTTGTTAACTATTCTTCCAATCATTTTTTTTATTTCGAACGGTATACCGAACTGTATAAAATCCCTTTATTATCCATTTTAGTGCCGGATCTTGTTAACTATTCTTCCAATCATTTTTTTTATTTCGAACGGTATACCGTACTGTATAAAATCCCTTTATTATCCATTTTAGTGCCGGATCTTGTTAACTATTCTTCCAATCATTTTTTTTATTTCGAACGGTATACCGAACTGTATAAAATCCCTTTATTATCCATTTTAGTGCCGGATCTTGTTAACTATTCTTCCAATCATTTTTTTTATTTCGAACGGTATACCGAATTGTATAAAATCCCTTTATTATCCATTTTAGTGCCGGATCTTGTTAACTATTCTTCCAATCATTTTTTTTATTTCGAACGGTATACCGAACTGTATAAAATCCCTTTATTATCCATTTTAGTGCCGGATCTTGTTAACTATTCTTCCAATCATTTTTTTTATTTCGAACGGTATACCGAATTGTATAAAATCCCTTTATTATCCATTTTAGTGCCGGATCTTGTTAACTATTCTTCCAATCATTTTTTTTATTTCGAACGGTATACCGAACTGTATAAAATCCCTTTATTATCCATTTTAGTGCCGGATCTTGTTAACTATTCTTCCAATCATTTTTTTTATTTCGAACGGTATACCGTACTGTATAAAATCCCTTTATTATCCATTTTAGTGCCGGATCTTGTTAACTATTCTTCCAATCATTTTTTTTATTTCGAACGGTATACCGAACTGTATAAAATCCCTTTATTATCCATTTTAGTGCCGGATCTTGTTAACTATTCTTCCAATCATTTTTTTTATTTCGAACGGTATACCGAACTGTATAAAATCCCTTTATTATCCATTTTAGTGCCGGATCTTGTTAACTATTCTTCCAATCATTTTTTTTATTTCGAACGGTATACCGAATTGTATAAAATCCCTTTATTATCCATTTTAGTGCCGGATCTTGTTAACTATTCTTCCAATCATTTTTTTTATTTCGAACGGTATACCGAACTGTATAAAATCCCTTTATTATCCATTTTAGTGCCGGATCTTGTTAACTATTCTTCCAATCATTTTTTTTATTTCGAACGGTATACCGTACTGTATAAAATCCCTTTATTATCCATTTTAGTGCCGGATCTTGTTAACTATTCTTCCAATCATTTTTTTTATTTCGAACGGTATACCGAACTGTATAAAATCCCTTTATTATCCATTTTAGTGCCGGATCTTGTTAACTATTCTTCCAATCATTTTTTTTATTTCGAACGGTATACCGAATTGTATAAAATCCCTTTATTATCCATTTTAGTGCCGGATCTTGTTAACTATTCTTCCAATCATTTTTTTTATTTCGAACGGTATACCGAACTGTATAAAATCCCTTTATTATCCATTTTAGTGCCGGATCTTGTTAACTATTCTTCCAATCATTTTTTTTATTTCGAACGGTATACCGAATTGTATAAAATCCCTTTATTATCCATTTTAGTGCCGGATCTTGTTAACTATTCTTCCAATCATTTTTTTTATTTCGAACGGTATACCGAACTGTATAAAATCCCTTTATTATCCATTTTAGTGCCGGATCTTGTTAACTATTCTTCCAATCATTTTTTTTATTTCGAACGGTATACCGTACTGTATAAAATCCCTTTATTATCCATTTTAGTGCCGGATCTTGTTAACTATTCTTCCAATCATTTTTTTTATTTCGAACGGTATACCGAACTGTATAAAATCCCTTTATTATCCATTTTAGTGCCGGATCTTGTTAACTATTCTTCCAATCATTTTTTTTATTTCGAACGGTATACCGAACTGTATAAAATCCCTTTATTATCCATTTTAGTGCCGGATCTTGTTAACTATTCTTCCAATCATTTTTTTTATTTCGAACGGTATACCGAATTGTATAAAATCCCTTTATTATCCATTTTAGTGCCGGATCTTGTTAACTATTCTTCCAATCATTTTTTTTATTTCGAACGGTATACCGAATTGTATAAAATCCCTTTATTATCCATTTTAGTGCCGGATCTTGTTAACTATTCTTCCAATCATTTTTTTTATTTCGAACGGTATACCGAACTGTATAAAATCCCTTTATTATCCATTTTAGTGCCGGATCTTGTTAACTATTCTTCCAATCATTTTTTTTATTTCGAACGGTATACCGAACTGTATAAAATCCCTTTATTATCCATTTTAGTGCCGGATCTTGTTAACTATTCTTCCAATCATTTTTTTTATTTCGAACGGTATACCGAATTGTATAAAATCCCTTTATTATCCATTTTAGTGCCGGATCTTGTTAACTATTCTTCCAATCATTTTTTTTATTTCGAACGGTATACCGTACTGTATAAAATCCCTTTATTATCCATTTTAGTGCCGGATCTTGTTAACTATTCTTCCAATCATTTTTTTTATTTCGAACGGTATACCGAATTGTATAAAATCCCTTTATTATCCATTTTAGTGCCGGATCTTGTTAACTATTCTTCCAATCATTTTTTTTATTTCGAACGGTATACCGTACTGTATAAAATCCCTTTATTATCCATTTTAGTGCCGGATCTTGTTAACTATTCTTCCAATCATTTTTTTTATTTCGAACGGTATACCGAATTGTATAAAATCCCTTTATTATCCATTTTAGTGCCGGATCTTGTTAACTATTCTTCCAATCATTTTTTTTATTTCGAACGGTATACCGTACTGTATAAAATCCCTTTATTATCCATTTTAGTGCCGGATCTTGTTAACTATTCTTCCAATCATTTTTTTTATT